GTAAAATATAAATAAAATTATAACAATAATTGATAATTAAATAAAATATTTACTATTAATTTTCTTTCATATTCTTGTTTTTCTACGACATTTAAATAAAAATATTTATTCATATTCAAAAATAAAAAATAATTGATATCAATTTAAACGGCCGGGCTGTCTACCTTGTTAAGTTAGCCATTTTTTGCTATTTTGTTCTACTTTTCAGCCCCAATATTTTGTAGCTAGAATGTTAGAACATAAAAACATAATAATAATAATGAATTCAAATCGAGCCTCTTCAATCATTTTCGAGCCTCTTCAATCATTTTCTTTTACACGCCACTATAAGTAGACTCTTCATCAAAACCCAAGCCAATTCAATGCAAAAATATAGAATTAAATATTACTTAAAAAACTTCTTGTACAATAAAATAACTAACTCCTTAAACAATGTTAATTATAATGTAATTATTATAAAATTTATAATCGTAATATAATAATTTTTAAAATCAATAAAATTGGAAATGAAATTGATTTTTCTATTTTTATTAGAAGTAAAAATTTATATGTTGCTCTATTATATATTACACGAGTTATAGTGGGTTTGATTTGATAGTTTGCTGTCTCAAAGGCATTCTAATTTACTTTAATTATTGTATTATTTATTAATAGTCCTTTACTTTTTTTATCTATCAAATAAAGAGCAGTCAATTTATTACAAACAATAACTAATTTAATCATGAGTGATAATGCATCTTCAACGCATCTTCAACCTTTCTCTGTGTTTGTTGCTCTTCTTCTCTTTCTAATGCACTTCCTAATAGCTTCTGCAGTCCGAAATGATTCTGTTCTGTGCAAAGAGAGGGAGAGAGAAGCACTCCTTAGCATAAAACGTGACCTTATAGACCACTATGGTCGTCTCTCTTCTTGGGGAAGTGAAGAAGACAAAAGAGATTGCTGCAAATGGTTTGGCATCACTTGCAGCAACCGAACAGGTCATGTTACAGCGCTTCATCTTTTCATCTTGGGTTTGAGAGGTAAGATGAGTCATTCCTTGCTTGATCTGAGACATCTGACTTACTTGAATTTAATTGGTAATGATTTTGGTGGCACTCAGTTTCCAATTGATAAAAATGGTTCTCTCACCAAGTTGAGATACTTATATCTGTCAAATGCTAATTTCGGTGGAACTATGTCTTCTGTGCTGAGGAATCTGTCTAGCTTGCAAGTTCTTGATCTGAGTTATAATCATTTTATTGATATTGGAAACAGCGATTGGGTTTCTGGTCTTTCCTCTTTAACTAAACTTGATCTAAGTAGAATTCCACTGGTTAACCCCAACCATTGGTTGCAGATAGTTAACAATTATAAGCTCCTTCACCTTCAAACATTACGGCTAAAATCTTGCGTTTCCGGAGATGAGATTAATACTCTGCCACTTTCCCCTATCAATTCTTCTTCCGCTCTTGCAGAGATCTCCCTATCAATTCTTCTTCCGCTCTTACAGACATCTCTCTCTTTGACAACAACTTTGTGATTCCTTCAATATACCCATGGTTGTCTAACATCTCCCAGAATATCCAATTTCTTGATCTTTCTTCTAACATTTTATATGGTTCAGCTCTTGCTGATTTTGATAAAATTATTTCTCTTCCATATATTAATCTCTCTAATACTACAATTGGGGGCTATATTCCAAAATCCTTTGGGAACATGTCTCAGTTGCGTGCTCTAGACCTATCACGCAACAAGTTCAACATGAAACTTTTTGACTTGATCCAAAATCTATCCGGATTTACTGAGAGATCTTTAGAGGAATTATCTTTGGACCACAATCAAATAGGAGGATAGGAGTTCATTGCCGTATCCGGATTTACTGAGAGATCTTTAGAGGAATTATCTTTGGACCACAATCAAATAGGAGGTTCATTGCCTGATGAAATTGCAAGATTTTCATCTTTAAGAAATTTATTTCTCGGAAACAATCATTTGAATGGGACCATAAGTAAAAGCATTGGATGTCTGTCTCAACTCGAAAAATTTAGCATCAACTCGAATTCATTGAGTGGTGTTATCTCCGAACATCATTTCTCAAATATGTCAGAATTATCTATATTGGATTTATCAGGTAATTCTCTAATTTTGAATATAAGTGTCAACTGGGTTCCCCCTTCCAGCTTAACATGTATCTTTCTTGCATCTTGCAAGATTGGGCCTCATTTCCCAAAATGGCTTCATAGTCTAAAAAATTATGACGTGCTTGATATTTCAGATGCTGGAATTTCTGATTTTGTTCCTAACTGGTTTTGGAATTTGTCTTCAATTTATTCAGATGTGAATATCTCCTATAATAATTTGAGTGGAATAGTGCCAAATATTTTTGTGGGGACTAAATATTTCTCCATTGATGTGAGTTACAATTGTTTCTATGGTCCATTACCTTTTTTTTCAAAATCTAAACTACTTGTCCACGTTGACCTTTCTAATAATCTATTTTCTGGAAGAATTCCTCATGATTTTATGAATATGTAAAATTTAGTGTTCTTGAATTTGGCCAACAATGTTTTGTCTAGCAAAATTCATTCTTCTATTGGATTCATGTCCAAACTCCAAACACTAAATTTAAAAAATAATAAATTATCAGGAGAGTTGCCTTTTTCTTTAAGGAATTGCACTAAGTTGAATTTCCTTGAGCTAAGTGGTAACAAATTGTCTGGTAACGTACCTATTTGGTTTGGAAAAAGCTTATCATCTTTGCAATATCTTAGCCTACGATCCAACCAATTCTCTGGAAGCCTGCCCTTACAGTTGTGCCAATTGACAAATGTTCAGATATTAGATCTCTCTATAAACAATATCAATGGAACCATACCACATTGCTTGAACAATTTAAGAGCCATGATTGATGAGAATTCTAATGAGACCATACAATTTAAGAGCCATGATTGATGAGAATTCTAATGAGGGACCATTCTCATGACTATGGCCCGTCTTCTACAGCAGAAGGCCTTTGTAAGATTTCATTGACGATGCGAGGCGTTTGGTTCTTTGGTAAGGCTCAAAGTATGATATTTAAAAAAAAAAATCTTGGACGAGTTTAGGATAATTGATCCTTTCAAGCTAACAAAATAGAAAGAGAGATTCCAAGAACAAAATAGAAGGAGAGATTCCAAGAGAAATAGCAATCCTCTCAAGTCTTAGGCAATTGAACTTGTCCAATAACAAGTTGAGTGGTGCAATCCCTGAAGAAATTGATGGCTTGAAGCAGTTAGAGTCACTTGATCTGTCTCAAAATCAACTATCAGGCAGACTTCCTGCAAGCATGTCTATTTAAATTTTTTGAATACCTTGAATTTGTCACATAATAATTTTTTTGGAAAAATTCCATCGGGTACTCAACTCCAGACCTTTAATGCTTCTACATATAGCAATAATCTTGCACTCTGTGGGTCTCCACTTCCACAAAAATGTCCAGAAGACAATATTCAAGATTCTCCATCCAGTCATGATGATCATGATAATCAAGAAGATGAATTCAACAAATCGCTTTACCTTGGTATCGCTTTACCTTGGTATTGGAGTTGGATTCGCTGTAGGCTTTTGGGGTGTTTCTGGCGTTTTACTATTAAAGCGTTCTTATAGATATGCCTTTTTTAAGTTCGTGGATTAATTGAAAGATTGGATTTATGTAAGAACGGTAATATACATGAAGAAATTGCAGCAAATCAAGGTAAGATTTAGCCTTACTCTTCCTGTTTAAATTTAAGTAGTTAGGCTTTAATAGCTATGCTTCATACTATATTTTTTAAAATGATAAATAATTTTAGAATTGTACTAACTTCCTTTTCTTCTCTTTGGTTTTTGCTCTTCCGCTCTGTTTCTTCACACTAGAATCTGGCGGCACTGATGCAACATTAATTGGGGCTGGTTGCTGGATATCAATAGATATATAATTTTATTTCTAACGTAACAGTGCAAATGAGTTTAATTACTGTTTGTACCATTTGCTACAGTCTGATAATGAAAATTCCTTATTAGATACTTTACATCATTTATTTATTATTTAATAATAATATTATTATTATTATGTTAATATTTTTATAATTCGTTGGGAGGCCAATGGGTCGAAATGATACTATGGGCTACACAATAACACTCCCTTCTAACTCATCAAATTAATTAAAACTAATGTAATCAAATTAATTAAAACTATTGTGATCAAGAGAATTCGAACCGAATACCTATTTTTTACATAAGTTACATAAGTGAGAAAAATTATTCATTATGTTAATTGTAATATTGTATTAATTATATAGTAAATATAATTAATAAAATCAATTTCTAATAATTAATAAAATCAATTTCTAATTAGAGAATATAAAATTTTTTAAATTCAAAATTCCTTTATTTTTATCACATTAGATTTAACTTTCTATTTAATCAAAGAAGATATATGAGACCTTATAATACAACTTATCCTTGATAAAAACATCACATTACATAGAATTCATAACATTTTCACTAACTTTTAAATATTTTAAATATTAAGATAATATTTTATAAAAAATTAATTCATATAAATCAACATTTTATAAAATATTACACCACTAAATTAACAACTAATCTTATCATAATATGAGTTCTTATCAAACAACTAATCTTATCAAACACACCCTAATACTCATAATAAAAGTTCTTTTGAAATTGTTTTATCACACAATGGTATCACTAGATTTCTAGGAACTTAATTCAATAGTAAAAACAATAAAAAATCCTCGATTTAGTATTTTTTTTTTTTTTCCCACTAAAATCATACCAGTATAATGTTTGCAAGAGGCAGTAAACCACTGAATTAACTTCAACACTAGAGGGAAGGGCGTTCAAACACTTAGAGGGGAAGGGCGGGGAAGAGAGGGAGAGAGAGAGACGGGCAGTTGGAAGAAGCAAAACGAAGTGAACAGAGGAAGAGAAAAAGAAAAAAAAAGGTAGCTCTTGCAGGAAAAAAGTAGCTCTTTGAGGAAGAGAACAATTTGGGTTATGGATTAAAAATATAACAGAAAGGTCCAATTAGCCAGAATTACAGGCAAATATACAACAATGATACAATGGAGAACGATCTCTCTCAACACAACTAGAAAAGGAATTCAATTAAATTATACATTCCCTCCCCCTTTCCTAATCTTCAAAACTGAGCATATCTGCAAACAAGGAAGATCTACTTAAGAGTCCTCAAATTCAACAAACCTAATAAATAATTGGTACCAATATTAGCAGAATGAGAAGAACGATAAATGAAAAAGAAAAAACAAAAAAAAATAGCAATCCATCAGTATCAAAGCATTGAAATGTTACAGGAGAAGAGAAGCATCGCAAAAGAGCATCTGTTACAGAGAAGAGATAGTCATCGCAAAAGAGCGATTCACCAACAAAGTCGTAGCTATCGCAAAAGAGCATCACCAACAAATCTACTGAGTACCAAATCCTTAAAAATGTATTACCATTTGTCAACCCTTTCCCTTATTATATTTAGGAGGTTTCTCTAATTGATTGTAGCTGAGAGAAGGAAATCCGGATTATTGACCCGGCAAGCGAGATGGCATGCTTACAAGCAAGTGCTTCAGTGGCCTGCTCCTCAGTCTCAAATAAAACAAGGGCTTGTTTTTTGCCGTTCATCTCAAAAAGCCTGCTGTTGACAACAGTGCCATGCTCCTCTAAGAGGCTAACAATCTCCTCTTCTGTTATGTCTTGAGGGAGAGTGGAAAGGTGGATCATCTTTGTTGGTGAGCAGCAGTACTTATAGTTCTTTGCAGCATTTCGATTGAAGCGATTGAGATTAGAGTTTTGAAGCGATTGAGATTAGAGTTCACATATTCATGTGTGTCAGCACCTTGAGTTATATTTGGATACTTTGAAAAGTTCACCTCCAATCGCTTCCCGAAAAGCATTGCGCCCTGCTCCACATTGTAAAACAAGTGTTCAAGGTAAAGCTTCCACACATAAAGGAACCTCACACTTGAGATAGAAAGAAAGGACCAACCAAAGTTGTGCAAGCGCAAGGGATCAGTCAAAAAATGGACATTGTAAATACTCTAGTCAGAATGACAATTGAAGAACAGTGAAGGCTGGACAACTCCATTAAAGAATCAGCATCACCAATGACAAGTGCCAGATGGGAAAATAATAAGTAAAAAGTTAGATGAGAAGCTTTTTTTCCAACCATGCGCCCTGCTCCACATTGTAAAATAAGTGTTCAAGGTAAAGCTTCCAAACATAAAGGAACCTCACACTTGAGATAGAAGGACCAACCAAAGTTTGCAACGCAATATAGTCAAAAATGGACATTGTAAATACTCTAGTCAAATGACATTGAATGAAAGGACTGACAACCCATAAAGGAATCAGCTTCACCAATGACAAGTGCAATGGGAAAATAATGTAAAAATTAAGAGAAGCTTTTTTTCACCAAACCAACCTAATATAGAGAATAGCATTATTTTTCAAATATTTTCCACTATTCCACAATAGTCAATATAGTATGAGAAGCTTTTGTGACCAAACCTTCAAAAAATGAACTGCCAATTCAGCTTGAAAACCATCCCCCATTTGAACAAGTGCATGATCAGGTTTATTCCGGAGAAGTTTAATCCTCACAATATTTCCATAGAGGGAAAACAAGTTGAAAAGCTTATCCTCATCTATTCTCTGAATGCGTGAAAATTTTGATCGTGAGTACCAAATGAATAAATCAAAATATAATTTTCAAACAAAAAGGGTAAAGCTGACTTACATCTGGGTTTAAATTGGAGACAAGGACCGTGCACCTGTCATTTGTTCCACTAATTCCAGGAGGTAAGCCTCCACCAAAAGCAGCAGCTATTGCAGCCGCATTGGCCATCTAAACAAAAGATAATCAGATCAATCAAATCTAAATATTGTGCATATTTAAGGCAAATTGAGCAACTAAATAAGCTTTGAACAATTATCTTGATGAGCACCAACCAAAAATAATCTGGCTTATTACATGAGAATTCCAAGCAGTATATGTGAGCTTGATAATTAATGCGAACACAATCACTAAGCACAAGTAGACTTTCCCGAAATACAGACATTACAAAGATCTACAACTGCAGAGAATTTAGAAGCATTCATTTCATGCCTTTGCATTTCCTTTCACTCATTTTGCATTCTCAGAAATAAATAAGGTCTAGCAGAAAACAATGAACTTGGAAAAATGCTTCTACTTGAAAATTTTGGAATATGCATGATGCCTAAAACATCTGCAAATTTAGGGGATGTGATGTATGATTTTCCAATCATAACAGAATTCCCAGGCATCATCCCAAATACATAGGGAGAAATGCCACAAGGAATATGTACGTCTATAGGGTAAAGGCAAAGATAAACCAGATTGTCCGAAGAAAAATCCTGAGCATTTATGGACTATAACTAATATATATACCAGGTCCAGATCGATACCCACCTGTGGATATGCAACTGCAACAAAGACAAACAAAAAGGTCAGTCAGTTAATGCTCAAACAAGACATAGAAAGAACAAGCTAAGTGTAGAATATCATTGTATGTCTCCCAAATTCAACATCTGCCGCATTGGCTGCAGGAACTTTAAGGGCATACTCACCAACATCGCTGTATCCAGCCTGCTGGAAAGAAAACAGAAAGGCATTTAATACTTTCAAACAACCTCTTAAGTATCAACTAACAAGCGATTTCAAGAAAAATAAATCAGAAAATGGTGCATACCTGTGAAGATCTGCCACCTTTTTGTTCGGAAGGCAGATTTGGGTTAGTGAAATCCCTGGGAAAAGAGAGATGATAATTAATATTCAGTAACTCTGAAATGATAATGCCAAAATGACAGGACAGAGTTAAATTGGGAATTCATTCAACTATCACTTGCCTTGATCGATCATTATTGTAGTTCACTTGCAACTCATCCAAGCTGGAAGATAAATATAAGAAATAAATTAATAAGAACTGGAGAATAAGGACTTAGAATTCCTCTTTCTGTCTGGTGTAAGAAAATGAAAATCAAATGATCACAATGATACAACCATCGATTATCATGCTCAGAATTGTGAAAAAGATAGAGAAGGAAATTGGAAAAAGGAGATAGTAAAATTGCAAAAATATTACTGCATACTTTGAAAACTGAATGTCCAGCTGACAACAACCATCGTAAATATTACGCCCCTATAAAAATTCAAAGCACAACCTTGCTCAAAATAAAACCATTTTCAAAAACTTGAACAAACTTTTAGATGATCGTCACCTTTGGAATGAAAAGAGAAAGTAATACCTGAAGAGAAGTCCTTGCTGCTACAGCACTCTGACGTAACTGATACTGAATAAGAGCTTGAAAACCTGAACAGTGAGCAGGAAGAGTAGAGCGAAGAACTATTAAAAACTATGGAAAACTCGTATGCACAACTCTGCTGAAATCATTATTGCCTTTTTGCCACTCACTGAAAAGCGCAAGAGAAACCCACAAATTGCTCAAAGCGGAGAGTTAGGAAAATAAAAAAGTGATTTACGACTATGGAACCATTTAGTAGGACCATAAGAGTACTGATAATGAAAACAAAGCCATACAAAAGACCATACCAAAAATGTTAAATCTAATCCATGTGGGCATTAAAATTTGAGAGGGGGAGAGAGAGATAGAGAGATAGAGAGAAGAAAACTTGAAGAAGCTGACCAGCCGACTTCTGAAATGTGACAATCTTCTCCACAAATCCATGAGGAGAAAAAACTTGATGCAGCACTTCCACTGTAATGGGATACAGCATGTGATGGATTGTAACTAAAAGAATTCGATTCGGCTGCGTCCAGAGTTCCCAACAGCAAACCAGCATAGAGACAGAAGAGAGAGAAGAGAATAAATAGAGAAGCATAGATAGGGAGAAGAGAGATATATAGAGAGAATAATAGTTACAGAATAAGAACAATTAGAAATAATGGGCATTAGTTAAACATAAAGAAAAGTTCAACCACAACACAAATTGACAAACAAGAGAATGAGAAAAGCATATGAGAGAGAAAGCCGTAAACGCTAAATTTTATCGGTCATTGTCTATTAGAGAATTATAGTTCATTTATGTAGCTCCCTTAATTAATGAACAAGCGCCAAGTTATAACTAACCTTACAAGTTATTTTCGGAAGAATACTAACAGTAATTAATTATCTCACTTTTTCTCCAAGTTTTCTGAATTCCTAATTTATAATTGTCCTTTTATGTGAAAATCCAAGATTACCTTAATACTTCAATGTTCTAAAATTTATAATTTTACAACATCATGCAGGAAAACTCAAAAATAAACATGAAAGACTTATTTCATGATTGCAATGATATCATCTCATTTTAAATAAACCATATCAAGCATCTACCTGGTATGACTCCTTTTAATATTCAGTATTCAATGTTTTAAGGCAATATCAACTAAAAATATATAGCAATTGAAAGGCAATTCCGGAAAAAAGCTAATTTGTTGGGAGAAAAAAAAAAAGAATGCATATTGGACTAGAAAGAACTAACCTCATCTCCTCTTCCTTGAGAGTTTTGATCCATTGTGGTTAGTTCCTGATGTGATGAGAATTGCACATAAACATTTCTACCCCTGAGAAGACAAAGAAGACTCATAATATAAGTGCACTCTAAATATTTGATAAAATAAATCTTTTTATAACTTTTCAGATCAGGATATTCAACAGAAAAGATAATGAATGTTTTCAGTGCAAGGTTCTCAACAGTAATCATATGCTATTTGGCAATACCTTATGGCTGGCTGGACATTTGTGTAGAACTGCAGCGCATTGATGGCTGAAGGAACATCTTGCATTTGGAGGAGAGCCTGCAAATAGAGTTAGATATAGCACAGTAGGATACCACATTCTGGGATTTTGCTTAAGTTCAGTATGTAAATAATCAACTACCTAATCTGCAAGGCAAACAAAAGCAAACCTGATTTTTAGCACGAAGCATAACAAGCTTTGTTATGACTCCAAATGGCTGGAATAGCTGAAGCAAATCATTCTGAAAAGAATAGTGAATGGTATATCAGACATAAATACACTTGGCCCATTATGCAAATAATCAATTCAGAACTCCTAAATATTCCCCAAGATTAAATGGCAATAGGAAAAGAAGTTCTTCCCAGCAATGGATTAGGCACGTGCTAAAGCAAATGGCAGCTTAGCTCATGCTACAAAGCATTAAGGTAATAACTCAACTTAATAGAGACAGAAAACACCGCAATTATGATACTCTGTTGTAGATTCTTTCACTGCCTTTCTTGATATTAATCAGAAACTTATTCTCATACTGTTGCATTCCCATTTTACCATTTCAATTAAACTTCTTCACAATAAAATGGATGGCCTTTTTGAAATTTTACTACCTCCATAGAAAATTGAAGAAATAGCGTCTTGGTAATTCCTATTTTCACAATGTTTAACAAACTTATCTGTTTGGAGTGCATAAAAACTTCTTAAAGACATTTAATTCTCACATAAATAGAATATGTCAACTGCTTAAAGTAGAACTATGAAAAAAAAAAAAAAAGTATGTAAGTGAGAGAGAGAGAGAGAGAGAGAGAGAGAGAGAGAGGAGAGAACATACTTCAGAAATTTCATGCCCAACATTACGAACATGGATAACTTTGGAAGGTTCTGTCATTCTGAAGCACCCTGCAGTAAAATCAATGCCAACGGTTAATCCATAATTTCCATCCAGTAATCAAAACGATCAAATTGCATTCAGAGTTTATCACTCACTCGAATACTAAGCAACTAAAATATACCCATCCCGCCCACTCATAAAAACAATAAATTAAAATGCCCATTCAATGTCAAATTAATATCAACATTTACATAACTCAAGCCAAAATTTATTTATGCACGGACCAGTATTTATTCATTAAAACATAAATTGATTAAAAACAAAATCAATTCAAGAAAATTTATCTTATAAGCCATCAAAACAAAAATCTAAGCAATTTTTCCTGCAACCAATTCAATAAATCAAAATCAATTACGGAAGTAAATTAAGAACCAAACAATCCGAACCCAGTAAAATATTAAAACATAGAACAACTGAAAATCAAAACAATAAAGTACAAAGCCAAAAACAGGGGAAAAATCAAAACCCAAAAAGAGCATTAGAGCATATGAAACTCAAAAACCTAGCTCTCTTTTCAGTAACTGGGAGAGAAATAGCAGAAAAAGTCGAAAGGAAACTTTGAATCTAAACAATTGCTAACAAAAGCCCCCTATTGAAGTACGAAATAAACTGCAAGCTATTAATTTTATATCTGCAAAAACCCTCTCAGCAACCATACGGAAAGAAAGCGGAGATCGAAAATCGAAGAGAGAGATAGAGAACTTGCCTGAGCGAGAAAGAGAGAAGGCGATAAATAGAAGTAATAGAGAGAGAAGATCAGAAATGAATAGATCGACTGCTACGCAGATTGTTCCTGTTAGAAGCAGTTTTACCCTATCTCTCTATCTCTCTCTCACAATTAAAATACTTCTACTTCGGAGTAGAGTGGTGGTGGGACCCGTTGTTATTTTTTATTTGGGGCCCATTTTATCTTCTACGATCGTTTTTTTTTTTTTTTTTTGTGCCAAGCTTATTAAAGTTTAATCTGGCATGAAAACCCTCTCAGCAACCGATACGGAAAAGAAAGCGAGATCGAAAATTCGAAAGAGAATAGGAGAACTTGCGCGAGCGAGGAAAGAGAGAAGGCGCGATTAAATTAAAGTAATAGAGAAGAAGATCAGAAATGATATTATATTATCTATCTACGCAGATTTTACCTGTAGAAAGCTATTATCTCTCTATTCTCTCTATCTCTCTCTTCATCTATATTCAAGTTTTATATATCTTCTATCTCTGAGAGAGAGCGAGGTGTGTGGACCCGTTGTTATTTTTATTGGGGCCCCATTATCTCTACGATTTTTTATTGATATATATTTATGCAAAAATATATATATATATATATTGCGTACTATATATGCATATATATCTCTATATCAAATTCTTATGCCGGTGAATAAGCATTTAGTTAGACCGAATGCAATTCAAATCGAATAACACCAATGTGGTATGGAATAGTAGTCGAGGTTTTTTTTTTTTTTTTTATTGATATATATTTTATGCAAAAAAAAATGAAATTATTGCTACGAGTAGGGTGAGCATTTAGTTAACCGAATCAATTCGAGGGTGAGCATTTAGTTAACCGAATCAATTCAAATCGAATAACACAATTTAAATATAGTCAAATTTTATAAATTTATTATTTAATTTAAATTATATTTAAAATAAACCCGAAAACTATCCCAAGCTAAAAATATGCAATTTTTTTATAAAAAATCGCAACCTTCTAAATAGCTGGATTAGTATTTTTAGTCAATTAATTTAAATTAATTACGAGAAAATATCTAAATCCAAATTTTTTCAATATATGTGTTCTGTCTCCAGATTTGCAATCTGCAAAGTAATTATATACATATTTTTATAAATTTATAGACAATTAGGATAAAAAAATAAAAATTAATTAATTAATTAATCTAAAAAGTCAAAAGTATCCAAATAAAAATTATAAAGAAAATCATATATAAATCCAACTATCTAAATAACAATTAATATAATTAACATTAAAAGAAACCTTCGTTAAACTTTCAGTTACAAAATTATAGCTGGTAATTAATTAAGTATGATGTTCTTTATCAATGATCTTAAAAGTTATATCATATTATTGTCACCTATCATAAAAACTATATAAATATAGTTTGCACTCTGATTAATTGAATTTTTTTTCAGACTAACTGCACCATAGCCAAAAAATCAAATTAATATTTATAACTGACCGATTTCAAACCAAAACTAATCTATTAACTACCGAACCAAACCAAATCACTTGGTTCCGTTTGAATTTTTAGTTACGAGTGCAAGACCTAATATATTGTTTTCGCCAATAATTTTTATTTTTGTTATTTATTATTGACTGGACATTTAGCTCAATTGTTCCACATGGGACGTAATTGATTTATATCCCATTATCATTTCAAATATGTTTAATAAAAGTCGGGGAATGCACGTTTTGGTATTATAGAAAAGGCGAAAAGAATAACCGAAAAATCTTATGATATTTTTAACTTTTATTTTTATATATTAAACATTTAATTTATAAAATTATATTAATTAAATACTTCAATTTGTAAAAATTTTTTCTATTAAATATTCAAATTTCTAAAATTAGATTAATTAAACACTTATTAGATAGTTGAAAAAAATGTGAAGATTATTATTTCAAATATTATATTAATCATATATTAAATGAATATCTTGCATATAAATATTAAAAATAAAAAAAAATGTTATTATGAGTATAAAGATTGATATAATATTAGTAAAATTTATAACTTCACGGGTATAATAGGTTAATTAAAAATTTGAAGTGTCACAATTTTTCCGCAAAGTACAACGTATATTTATACATTTGACCATAAAAATTTTAATTAGTAGGTGATAATCTATTAGAAATTTTCACAAATTTTTACTAGTGGACAAAAATAATCTTAATGCCTAATAATGCATAATATATTATTCTGACTCTATACAGTGGAACTAGCGACAATCAATTGAGAAAAGAATATCTTAGTAAAAACAATAAGTTTTCTCTTATATAACTAATTCTTTATTGATTACCGTGACTATTACATTTTTGTACACCAAGACATATCTTAGTGGGAAGTGCATATATAATTGTCAATAAATTCGGATTCGAATTTCTTCTCCCCCGATACTCAAAAAAAAAAAAAAAATATTGCATTTTTTTTCCTAGTTTTAAGTAATTAATTAATTTTGTTGGAGTATTTTAATTTGTAAATTTTCTTATTTGTTAATTCAACAAAAATCAAATTATCTAATTTAAGTTTATCAAAAATATATCATTATTAGACATCTCTTTATATTGATTTCACTTCAAGTTTTGACCAGAAGATTTGAGCAGTGATTGGAGATATTTTCTATCATCACATGGTTCATTTGGAGAGCCAGGAGTTGCAGTAGGTCTAATTGCATGAAGATCATATTTTACAAATATGCTAACACGTCTCTTTAAGCTTCAACGGGCTAGTGTTGTCAAGAGAGGAGAGCAACTTTGCTAATAGCTTTAGAACTCTCTACCGAATGGATGTTACAAACTCAAATTGGATGCTTCGACTGAGGAAGGGCAAGGTTGTGGGTTTGATTTCATTAGGGGTTCAGTTAAAATCGAACTGAATCAAGGTAACATTGAACTTTTCACACTTGGAATCGAATCAAACTGAAGTTGGCAACTAACTAAACTAACTCAAACCAAACCAGCCAGTTGTGTTTTTTTTTTTTTTTTTTTTCAATTCAACTGTAAGTATTTGCCAACTAACGGTTAATAAACTAACTCAAACCAAACCAGCCAGTTGTGGTTTTTTTTTTTTTTTTTTAACGCATATCGGAGACTCGCCTTTTTTTTTTTTTTTTTTTACCATATCAACTCGGTTTTAAACTTAACCGATTATTTTTTGTAAAACCGAACCAGACCACCAATAACTTCAATTCAAATCGACTAAATCAATAAAATTGAATTCCCTTGAGCAAGTTGATCAAATCAAATCGAAAAGGATTGGTTCGGTTGAATGTTTTGCACACCTCTAGTTTCATTATCAGAAATGCAAGGGGCAAAGTGATGGAATCAAGTATCCAGTCAAGTAATGTAGCTCTCTTTCTCAAGGTTGAATACATAAACTCGCCCAGTAGGGGATGTAGAAATATTTTTTTCCGGGGTGAATATATAATTCTTAAAAAAGAGGGTCAAAAATATAAATAAACTGAATTTTATGGATTAATTTATATATATATAAGTTTTAATATATATTACTAAAATCCATATTGATATATATATATTATTTAAAAAATTCCAAAAAAAGACTGGGTCAAGTTGACGCACCTCTGATAATATTAAAAAATTCCAAAAAAAGAGGGGTCAATTGACCACCTCTTTTTATAGAGTAGATCCGCCGCTAAACTCACCCCTCAACTTTGCAACTTTAACTTTGTGGCATCTTGAATTTTGCGGATGACATATTATGCACCTAAACTTATAAATTTTTGTAATATCACACATCTTTCGACACTAATATCAATCATTTTTAGGATTTTTACCTTTTATCTGCAAAATATTAACTTGATATGTAATTAATATGACTTTTAGAACAATAATCTGCATAAATTTCAATTTTTTAGTGATACTCTTAATTGATATAATTTTGCAAGTTAATGTATTTAATAAAATAAATTTGAATATTGAAATATTCAATATGTCTAATTTTATAAGTTGAAATGTTTAATGGGTTAAAATAAAAAATTGATGGTGTCACGAGGTTAAAGTAACAAAGTTCAGAGATAAATTTATATATTTTGCCCTTTCTTAAAAATAGAAGTTTGAAGCAATACCATTTGGATTGAGTAAAGCTCTGGATATGGGAATTGATGCTTTCGTACTGGAATCAGATTCTTTGACCATGCTACTGCACATAAACTCTCACAGATTTCCTAAAACAAAGTATGGAACAATGCTACTTGTTTTATAGTTGATATTATTTCAATTAATTAATAGAGTTCTCCTTTTATTGTTAAAAAAAAAAATTATATATTAATTAAATACTCATTATTTATCAATCATTAGTTTTATTAAACTGCTAAATTAAAACATGTTTTGTAAATTATATATGATTTAGTTGGGCCTTCTCGTTTATGTGAGGAGCGAGAGGTCACGGATTTGAATTCTCTCGACCACATGTGTGTATGCTCGGAAAAAAAAAAAAAAGAAAAATGTCCACTTCCTGCCAAGTAGAATCAAGGACTTCCATTCAAGATCAAATTGTGGAGGCAAATGTGATAGAAGAGAAGCATAAGTGACGAGAAAAGAAGAAATCAAAGGAAGAGAGGTAGTTTAGCATATCATACTAAAATGTTTGTTTTCTCATCCTCATCTTTGAGGATTCTGGATTACTTTTTTTTACTCTAGGCAACTATTTGTTCGCATATGAAGAAATTAGAGATGCTAAAAAAATGTTGTAATTCAAGGTCCTCGTGCATGTTATCAATACTTTCAGCTGTCTTAAAATCTTCAGCTTCACAGGCAACTTCCAACTGTAATGCAAGGTCCATGTACTTAGCAGCAGCTGTATTGCGTTCCTCAGTAGTTGCTCTCAAGTTTTGCTTCCATATTCGATTTTCTCACTAGACTCCTTTATTTTTATTATTTGAATTCTATACAGAAGGCGTTTCTGTCTTTTTCCATGCAATTATCGTCTAAAATTGAAAAGTTGAACAAAGAACAATAACATTGAACGATGCTAAACTACAGGGACAAAGTAGAAAATAAAGGGAAAAAAATAGTTAATTTTAGCCAAATAAAGATATAAGATTATAATTTTTCCAAAAAAAAAAAGCTTAATCCACAAAAATACCCCTAATTTTTACATTTGTTTTAGAATCACCCTATTTTGACCTTTGCGCACTCTCGTTTTTAAACTTAAATATATTAGCACTAAAGAATAAAATCAGAGTTAAAATTTAGAATAAAGTAATGATTTAACAGGGCTCACATGTTAACCTTGGTTAAACTTAACCCAGGGACTAAAAAACCTCACACACAAATTTCAACTGTGACCGATAAATTTCATGACTAACCCACATGTGAAAATTGCAGACAAATCTCATGCAATTCTCTTTTGAAACTAACAATAAAAGTTTAAGAGGTAGGATGATATTTTTGATACTAACGAACCAGAAAAAATAACAAGAACTAGTAGTCTGAAGAAAATCCAAATGGAGTTAATGGAAACAAAATTAAAGTAAAAAAAAAACTGCCAAATTATTACTGAAAGGCAGAAATTAGCAAACATATAAATTAACCAAAACATCCTCGTAATTAGGATCAATTCTGCTGTTTTAATGGCTTGGTTGTAGTTTTGAATGATGCATAATGGACGGTGGTGATCGTTCCATCTCTAATTTGACTGATGGTTGGTGGTGGAGGAGCAGAAGGAAAAACCAGCTTGAGATAAAGTTTAACTAAGGTTAACCACGGGCTGGGCTTCATTAAAATATTTTTTACCCTACTAAAGTCATTCAAGGTTAATAGAAGGAAATTGGAAATTGCAAAATGCAAAAACTACTTAGTATTTGTTTCCTAATTTCACAAAGAAATAAGACAATTGATTTATGTGATCAGACAACGAATAATTCATGCAAGTCTCCAAATTCGGAACTTGATAGTACAAGTTAAGATCCAACAAATTAGGGGCTTCAATTTTCAAAGTAAGGTAGGTACCATTACAAATAAAAATCAAAATTTAGAATAAAATAACCAAAATAAATTCTTATTTTCTTCAAAATCAAAATTTCTTCTCTATTTTCACTCACCTAGGATTCCCATAATTACAAAGGGCAAGTATCATCTCAGTTAAAACATAGAGAAAATTCAAGGCATTATTCATTTTTGGGCTGCATAGATAGTGCAAAGAACAATGCAGACTGTAAAGAACCAGATCAAATGTTTAAAGCAACTCTGATTAAGACAACATGCGAAAATAGATAACCAACACATATATCAAATATAAATTGCCCATGACACACATGTAAAAAAACAAAATTGAAAGCAAAATATGGAAACTCATACTCAAAAGTAATTCAACTGAAATGAAACAGTTCAAACTCTTTAACACTTCAAATATCCGATCTTAAAACAGAAAATAATCATCATAAGCAAAAATATCAGGGGCATAACAATCTTAATAGACTAATTTACTAGTACTGACACAAAATTTGATACTAAAAAAACATAATTATGCCTTCAGACGTCCAAAGAACTTCTGTTTCTCCTGTGTTGTCTGGAAGCGGCCATGTCCAAACTTTGAAGATGTATCAATAAACTTGAGCTTAATCTCCTCCAGAGCCAACCGAGATGTCTGGGTAAGCAGAGACTGGCGGAGAGTAACAACCCTCTTTTTAGTTCCAACACAGCATCCCTTGATCATTATGTAGTCATCCTTCACCTCACCATAGTGAGGGAAACCACCAATTGGATTGATACCTTTCTCAGTCCTGTCCCATCAGCCAGAGACAACAATGTTTCAGGCATAGATACTTAGCAAATCAAAATTATCTAAGGTTTGTAAAACAAATTAGTATGTTACACAAATGTCTCTGGCCTGCTAATATGATCAACCTAAAATACAACCTCTTTTCAATTGTTCAAAGGAAAGTGCCAAGAAAAATAAACTACTGTAACTGTATGATTGGGAAGAAGTTGAAAACATTATTTTGTCCAAATTTATGGTAACACATTTACAACCGTCAAGTGACACGATAATTACCTGTCATACTCAGTTATAGCAGTGTGGGACTCCTGTCCAGCTTTGCCAAGTTTGTAAACTTTCTTGTTCATTTCGGTACGGTGATGATATCCATTCTGACCAGCCCTGGCAACAGTAAATGAAACTCTAGCTGGATGCCAGGCACCAATACAAGCCACCTTGCGGAGACCCCTGTGGGTTTTACGAGGCAGACGGGTGACACCCCAACGAGTGACAACACCTTCATAACCTTTACCCTTGGTGACACCAATGATGTCAATCATTTCATCCTTCTGGAAGACAGCATCAATTGGGATTTGCTTCTCAAAAAACCCGTAGGCATAATCCACCTTCTGAGCAACAGTTCCACCATTGACCTGGATCTCCATTAGGTGAGCTTTCTTCTGCTTCAATCCCTTCATTTTCCTGATCTGTAATGTAATAAACCTCGCAAATTAAGCCTATAATCCAAAATAACTAGATTCTAGGTTGCAGAAAGCAGCACAAGATAAGCCACAGACTGTATCAAGCCAAATACCAAGACAAAAAATCAAAGTTTGTTTAATTTGTGGACTCCTAGCTATTTGAGCAGAATCAAGGTGACTTTTCAAGATTATAACTGAGACCAGAAAACACCACCATGACCAAAAACTCTCAAAAGGAAATTCAATAATCATCTAGCAAGCTAAGGGTTATTACCTGAGTGTGGGCCAAAACACGAATAACAGTGGCATATTTCTTCAACTTCTCAAGCTGGGCTTGGATGCTTTTCTTTCCTTCATCAGTCTCATACTGTTTTGAGTACTTTGTGAATGCCTTCTTCTTGGACTTGCACCAGTTCTTATAGAACCTTCTTTTCACCTCCTCACTAAGATGCTGAGCCCAAACAGTGTTCAGAGAACGCAGACCACGTGGTGTCTTAACATAACCAACGACTCCAACCACCACCATTGGGGGTGTCTCAACGATTGTAACAGCCTCGCAGGTCTCCTTCTTGTGAAGCTCTAAGAAAAGTAATTGTATAAGATTAGAAATGCTAAAACAATAAATGTAGTTCAAATAAATCCTCAAAATCTAGTTAGATAGCTGGCAAGAGTGCTTTTCTTTTAAGTTTCAATGAGATCTGATATTAAATAAACTGGATTCTTTAAAGCACAAGAACTACGTGTATATTTACTAAAATTTACTTACTTGACCCAGGTTTTTCGACCTCCCTGACAATGTGTGTCATCCCAGCCTTGTAACCCAAAAAGGCAGTAAGCTTGCAAGGCTTAGTGGGGTCATCCTTGGGGAAAGCCTTCACTGCATACCCCCAAAACATGAATATAACATGAGAAGTCTCGAATATACATGATCCGATGGATCAGACTAGTAAAACATACGAATATAAATTAATAAAGGATTAAACCTAGTTAAGAAAAATATATTCAATAAATTAGAAAACAAAATAACAGCTTGTGTTAAAGCCCTCAAATCACAATAAATCCATCTATCGTACATACTTAGAAGATCCCATTTCCAAGAAACAAAAAAAAATACTGCTCAATATCATCTAGACAGCAGCCTAGTTATAAGAATCATTCTTAGTGTCTTTTTTAATCAAATACAGAATTACTAGACCACAGTCCAGACATTTATGTCAATCTTAATTGAACATAACTGTGCCAATTCACCAGTTAGATAAAATACAGTTTCAGCATTTCTAATGACAATACAAACAGAAATAGAACAACGTAAAACAATACCCTTTCCCCTGTGACGAGAAGCTCTCTTCCTTGGAAGAAATCCCAAGGAACCATGTCTTGGGTGCTCAAACTTCCTGTGAGACATCTCTCCTCCTACATCGCCACAAAGTGAAAACAAAGAGAAAAAAAAAAAAAAACAGATCAATCAGTAACAAGCTAGAGATACGGAAGCTAAGAATGCTGAAGGGAATACGCTAGGTTTCAGATTTTCAATTTAGAACACCATTTTTCTCTACCTTCTAAACAACAAAACACAGAAAGAGAGAAAATGAGAGATAAAGAGGAGACGTAAGAGGAGGTTAGCTGCGTACCTCTCGTGCGGCGACTCACACTTTGCTCCAGAGACCCTCAATAAACCCTAGCTGCTGCTTATATAATAATCTTGTTTTCAAAAATCAGCTCCTACTTTCCTTAATTTGCCCAAGCCCACCCTGACTTTCTTTATATTGTATGAGGCCCGTCATTGCAATTTATATTTTAATTGGGCCCGTAGCCTTTAATTTGGGGCGTGTCTTTTTTTTTTTTTTTTTTTTTTTTGGTTTCAGATTTTTCATTTAAGGAACACCTATTTTCTCATACTTACACCTTCTAAAAACAACAAAACACAGAAAGAGAGGAAAAAATGAGAGATTAATAAGAGGAGACATAAAGAGGGTTAGCTGCGTACCTCTCGTGCCGGCGAACTCAACACTTCTCGCTCCAGAGACCCTCAATAAACCCTTAGACTGCTGCTCATATAATAAATTCTTGTTTTCAAAATATTCAGCTCCTACATTCACTTTATTTCCCCAGCACCAACCCTGACTTTCTCTTTATATTGTATGAGTCCCGTCATAGCACTTTATTATTTTAATTGGGCCCCGTAGCTTTAACTCTGGGTGGTGTCTTTTTTTTTTTTGGGGCGTGTCTTTTTTTTTTTTTTTTTCTTTTTCTTTTTTTACAATTTAGGGAGTTCAGAAACCTTTTTAGCCTGTTTTTACTAAACATGAAATAAAATAAAAAAAAATATTCAACTATCCTATTAGAATGCAATTATAAATTTACTGTGCGGATTAGAATGTTCATAAGTACAATTGAATGAAGATACTCCTTAGCATTCAACATATCCATTACTTTCACCGATTTAATTGATTATTTAAAACTATATTATAAATAAAGTTTTGTTAATTTATTTTAATATTTATTTAATCCCATAAATAGTTTATTTTTAAGGTAGATTTAATTTAATATAATATGAGAAAACTATTTCATAATACCACATTATCACTAATAAAAAGAAAGCAAAACATATATCACCTGTCTACAATTAAAATATATAAAATTTATTTATGAAACACCCCGAATTTTTATTTTCAAAATTTTCAAATTTAATTTAAATCACAAATCGAAAATTTTGACCGTGTGAGCTGTAAATGTAATAAAGTCTCAATTCGAGCCCAAGGTTGCGAGTTGGGCCTAAGCTCAAATATATCATAGAAATTTTCGATTTGAGAACAGTTAAATTTTCTAGAAATAATATAAAACTCCAGCAATTAATCTATTATGTATATATCTATAAATTAATTTCCTAAAAATCAAATTGATTTGTCGAAAACCAGCTTGAATTTTCTGAAAACCAAGTGAAAACCCTGCAAACCGAGTAAAAATTGAGCCGAACCATTAAATTAGACCAAATCGGTTCGAATCGAACCAGAATGGTCTAGAAGCCCCAAGATTTTTTTTCTTTTCCTTTTTTTTCTCTTTTCCCTTCTTCTTCCTTGCGCCAGCGCCAGCACGCGACCCCCCCACCCTCACCTCCTCTCGTTTTCCGACCACCTGAGCTCCTCGCCGTCGTCTCCTAGCCACAGCGTTGATCTCGTCTCTCTTCGTTTTCCGACCACCTGAGCTCCTCGCCGTCGTCTCCTAGCCACAGCGTTGATCTCGTCTCTCTCTGTTCGTCTCTGGTATGAGTGGCAGCGCAGGAGGGGTCGCGATGGGAGTTGTGTCGAGCTTTCCTGTTCCGTGACTTTCTGGCGACGCCGACTCCTCTCGCATCACGGAGAAACGCGGTCTCTCCTTCGTTCTTCCCTTCGTCTCCGGCAGCTGTTGCAGCTCAGGTGAGATGCGGTTCTCCTCCTTTGGATCGACGGCAATGGTGACAATGGCTGTTGATGCCCGTTCCGGCTAGACCAGCCACGGGCTCAGCAAACGGACGACAAAATCAAGCTCCCTACTAGATTTCGAGTTTAGGGGGTGTGGATCGCAAAATTCTGGGCGAGAACCATTTTTCCGGCCACCGTGCAAGGCGGCTAGTGGCGGCGGTCCGGTGACCGGCCGGTGACACTCCGGCGAGGCCCAAGAGGCAGAATGATCTCCTCTTCGCGTGGATCATGAAATTGAGGTCCGATTCTCAAACGGTACGCCCTAATATCTATTTCCCAATTTTTGTTTTAAACTTCAAATTTAAAACTATCAATTGATTAAGTTGAAATCAAATATAATCCTTGCTATGAAATTAATTAACTGATATAATGTAGTTACAAATTAATTTTGAACATTATCAAATAAATTACATTACTGATATAATGTAGTTACAAATTAATTTTGAACATTATCAAATAAATTACATGATTATTATTATAATTAGGTGAATTGAGGAGGAAAAATAAATTAGAATTAGTTAATTAGTTAATAGATAATCATTAGTTTAAAACTAGCCGATTGTGCATAAGAAAAATAAGGCGAATTTTAGTTGGTTAACGGTTAGATCTGAAATTTTGATAAATTAAGATTTGGGAGGCCTAGCCATTTTTGATATTGATATAAAAACTGAATTTTAATAGATAGTAGTTATAATTAGTTATTGTTAAAATATGTTTTAGCTGCTTAACAAATTAGTTACCATAAAGCTAATAATTTAGTTAACTAATGACTTAATAAATGATCTTATATGGATATTATTAGAATTAGTTTGTAAATTTTTGGTTGAGTGTCGATATTGTTGTTTTGGAAGGAGGATGGGATTTTAAATTGATTGATTGCCCGACAGATGGGCTGCGTGTATTGATTGATACAGATATAACAATATTGTGATATTTGAGCAAGCAGATAGTCCAATTTTTAGGGCAAGTGCTGCCGAAATTTCGCTAGAACTTAGTCTGGTTTTATTTAATAACATAATCAATAAGTTTATTTAGATTAACTCTATAACTTGTTATTTAATAAATAAAGTGCTCTGATTATTTTATTATTATCATGATTATTCATTTAATTATCCAATTATTTTTTTATTTCATCATTGTTGTTTATTGTTAATTTTTATTTATTTATTTAGTTATTTGCATTTAAGAATGGATGTCTATTTGTACATTGCATTACAATGTTCAACTGATCAATATGTCTACAATTAATTGCAATGTTTGATTAATTGTGTTGTGATAATGATATGCTTTGTTTGTGTGGAGTTGGGATGAAATGGGTCACCATGGGTTTGTGAGACTGTTAAAATGGGGTCACCAAAATGGGTTGTGAGACTTGTTTCTGTTTAATACGAATCCTGATTCGATTTTCTGTTATATTTTGATTCTGTTAATATGGACCTGATTCTAATTTCTGTTAGCCGGATAAATAGGAAGGATTGGCGCCCTTCAGTGTGCACCTACCCGTTACCGTTACCGTTAAACCACGAGTTGGGCTTCTCGGTCGTTCGCGCACCGGACCAGTCTAGATTTCGATCGCAAGCCTGGCAGGGTGGGCCTCCTGTGTGAGCCGCTTGATGATCTAGAATGGATGCGAAGACCACCGGGTTGTGCCTCCTTGTTGGTATGAAAAGAAGAGAGGAATAAGAAAAAACAATGAAGGGCTGGTCAAGTGGAGGATTAGAGCGGTTGGCCAAGTATGGGGATCGGCTCCCTGGTTGCACATGGTGAGAAAGGATGAGCCATGTGGGAGGACCAGCTCAATCGGGGTTTCCAGTGACGCCACTGTGACACAATTTCCACGTGATGTGAAGTATATGAAGATGTTAATGAATTGTGAGTGCTGGTTGATTTTGCCCAATGTTGTTGTGACTTGGCTGCGGTGAACATATAACTAGTCGGATGACTAGATTGACAATGTTTACACATTTGGTGTGACTCGTGTTATTGTGCAATAATTATTCTTCTTAGAAACTCACATTGGTTGATGTTTCAGGAAGTTAATGTTCTTTTAATCCGAATTAGGTTATGTTCCTTCGACTCACATGTTTTGTTTGATGTTTCAGGAAGTAAGTTTTTCTTTAATCCGATTTAGGTTATGTTCCTTCGGCGCAGAGCAATAGAGAAATTTTTCCTAGTTCCATAATTATTTTTCTATGTAATTATGTGTACCAAACTATGTATACCAAAGAGTTAGTGACTCTGCAGTTGTAGGATTTTCATATACTTAGTCATATATTAACATAGACAAAATAATTCTGTAAGCCTATATTAGAATGTGATGTATTGTAAATTGGGTCCGAACTATGGAATGCTGTAGAAGATAAACATGGGCCGAGAAATAATAAAATATATTGAGATTTATTTTTCATAATCATATGGGCTGAATGTGAAAATTTATACCGAGATAATAGATTCTAGTGTTTCAGGCTTACTACAGACTTCGGGGGCTTTAAGCTTATCTGGGCTCTAGTGCCGGTCCGGCCCATGAAATCGGATCGTGACAGTTTATTAGATGAATGTTTTGAGTATCGAATAAGCTAAAAAAAAGACTATAAAAAATTTCTTATATTTAGAATCTCAAGTATTAAATATAAAATTCATTTCAAATTTATAATTTCATTAATTTCTTCCATTATCAAAATTAAAATTATTTATAAATTTTAAAATTAATATAAAATTTTAAATAAATTTCATAAACAACTAACTATTGTTGACATCTACTATGCTTTGACTGTAAATGGAGCAAATCTTGTCAACTTTACGATTAGCTATCCTTTACCAACATTACGACAAATCGTGTTGACATTGACATAAATGCGACACCGTTTCAAATCTTAGCCAAACATAAAATCCGGTTGGGAATTAGGGCAAAACTAACGCGCATCAGCGTCGCCACCACTATAAAATGCCCAACTTACTTGACCACTACTTCGCCTTAAACCCGTCCAAAACGTGGAAGAAAGAAACCTTTTTTTTTTTAATTGCTTTCTTGAAATCGAATCAACTACTGGTTATGATCCCAGATTCTTCGTTTTGTTTTCTTGGTTGATTGAGAGTGATGAATCTTTTGTGCAAACGCAGCGCCGATCTATCTTAAGACTCGCGCTATGAGCGGCACTTCCACACGAGATTTCTGACTCTTCCTTCCATTTTTTTTTTTGACATTCTCTTCCTTCCATTTTTGTTTTCTTGTATTTCAAATCTTTAATTTTCCTTTTCTCTTTGGTGTTTGGTTCCTGAGAAAAGCCAAGAAAAGTAAAAAGAGAAAGTGAGACTCTATTGACTTGAAATACAAACCAAATTCATCTGATTCAGCTTGTGCTGTAAAAGTGATGCAGTAGGATTATTTTGCCTCACCGACATTCGTAAATTACCAAACAATTCCTAATTTGAGGAAGTCTATGGCTGAATATGATCCGTTACGATCCGTTTTAATTTCACACAGGTTGGTTTATAATCACGGTTGAATTAGGTCGCGGTTTACTGGATAAGATCCGATCTATAAATAAATTATAAATTAATTTGATTCGATGAATATTAATACTAAATTATTTACATATTAAATAGATATTATCTCTAATATAGATATTATCTCTGCCATTAGAGTATATTGTAGTTTAAAAGATGTTCTATAACTATATTACCAAATATTTTTAATTTTATTAGTTGTCTTTTTTATATTGTAGTTTAAAAGATGTTCTATAACTATATTACCAAATATTTTTAATTTTATTAGTTGTCTTTTTTATTAAGAAATTTAATTTTTCATTGTTGATTATATTATAATGATGATAATAATGATCATATTAAGAAATTTAATTTTAATATCGACCTTGAAATATAATTTATGAAATTTATTATATAATTATATTTTTAAATTATTTAAATTTTTCAGTAATCTTTTTAAAGAGTTTATTTTATTTAAAAATATTATGATTACCATCATTTATTTGACCCATAAATTTATATTGAACTCATACTTAATCAAAGTCATTTATAACCCATAGGTTCACATATTTAATGGGTTGGATTATTGACCTATATATACAGATTAGGTACTTTAAATTAATACCCGACCCACGTACAGTCTTAACTAAGTCTATAATTTATATTATTATTATAATATATATAAATGAAATTATTATTATTATAATATATATAAATGCAAAAATGGAAATAAAACATTTTCTATTTAAACAAAAAAAAATTCGTATTTATATTAATTTTTTTTTAAATTTAAATTCTGTCAATTGTATTAATTTTGTTCTAAATCTCATATTCTACCAAGGAATATAATTTTCTATTAAAAAATTTTTAACTGATTAAAAGAAATAAGTAAACAAGTTATAGTTATGTAAATTAATTGATGGTTTAGAACAAAGAGGAAGAAAATGAAGAACAGCCATGAAATTCGTTCACCAAATGCCAAACATGTAGTGATTTTTACACTTATAATAATACTAAAATGTAGTGATTTTTACACTTATAATTTCTTTTTATTACGTATTATGCATGATGACTAGTATACTCGTTATATATTCATTTTTTATACTTGTTTAGCTTTTTATTTATATAATTAGAGTATAAATTTTCATTTAAATTACAATAAATATAGTAATTTATATTAGAGTATAAATTTTCAATTTTAAGATTACAATAAATATAAGTAATTTATATATATATATATATATATATATTAAAATATTCTGTGCTAATTATATATATTTTGGCAACTGTAATCCTCATTGAAAAAAAAAATTGAATAATTGGTTTCTCTCTTAAAAGAATAACAATTTAAAAATATGGAAATATGTCATTTTATATTCTCTTCAACATATTGTGCGACTCGGCATAATAGTTTTTTATTAGATATTTTGCCTAAGGTGTGTGCTTTTTAGTATTTTTGTTTAAGGTACACGAAATATTGATTTATATTAAAAACAATCACAATAGCTTTTGATTTTAAGTTTGATAAAATTATTATTTATAAAAATCATCACATAGCTTTTATTTTAAGTTTTATAATTAATTTATAAGTTTTGTTAATAAATTTCACTATAATTTCTTTTAGTAAATAAATATACTTTAACAATTGAATAAGAAACTAATCTAATAAATTGACTTAAATATTTATAAATAATATTTTTTTTTTGTTTTTTATTTTTACTTTTTTAGCCGATCAAAATCACAAAATCATTTAAAAATTTTATTATTTAAAATTATATTCCTTAATTGAAAGAATAGAATGAATTTGATTTTTTTTTTCTTACTAATTAGAATATAATTTTTCAATAAAACATTCAAATATTAATATATTTTAAAAAACACATTCTAGTGTCCTTAAATTTTATTATTTTGAATATTAAGTTTCTAAAACTTTATTTGTCTAAGTGACATTTTCAATTAATATTTCTATAAATCATATATAGACTACACCAATACATCAATAAAATATGTGAGCATTGCAGGCGTCATTTATATTGACCACATCAGTCCTTGGGTTACTCTAACCAAGCTGCAGACGGTGGAATCTATAAAAATAATATTTTATTTCATTAAATTGAGTTGATTTCAAATTGGGATGCGCTTCTTTTTAATGGTTTTGCCAATTAACATAAATAACAACATTAATGATTTTGTTTATTCAAAAATTTTATTAATAATAAGTAATAGCTATTGGTACAGAAGCATAATAATTACAAATAGAAGAAGAAATTATAACGATTTTCTCTTTTAAAATGAAAAAAAGGAAAATGAGATTATAATTTGTTACAACTAAAAAAAGTATCTTTATGCGATATAGTATATTTAATTTAAATAAAATAAAATAATTGTAGTTAATATATGTTAGGATCAAGGTTCTATTTATAAAAATTTACGTTAAATATATAAATTTACTTTTAAACTTTGCAATTTCATTGTTATGACACATTTAATTTCGTAGAGTACTTAAGATTTTTTAACTTGTGAATTTTACATATTTTATGTCCCTCTTGATATTAGTAATAATAATTTTTAAGATTTTTATTTTTTATGTACAAAGTATTGATATTATACATATACGATTTGTACAACTTTTGAAATATAATTTTTCAGTTTTTTTAACTATCCATAGAGTGTATAATTGATATAATTTAATTAAATATGATGTTTAATAGAGTAATTTTTATAAGTATGCATTGTTTAATTGAGGGACACAATAAGTCCTCATAAAATTCAGTATATTACACCATTAATACATACTCCGGTTAAAGGTATTTTATGCATTTGCAATAAAATTTTAATCAATTTTATGTTAGGAAACAACCTAACTAAAGTGATTGGGAAGGGAAAATAGAGAGAAAAAAAAAAAGTAAAACAGAATAATAAAATGATATATTAAATTTGTCGAAAATTAGAATAGTATATATTTGATAACCTATTTATATAAGCTAACTCATTAACTAATTACTATTATATCCTAACATTTTTAGGTGAAATAAGATAAAAAATAATTTTTTACTAGTAATATTTACAATGTGATTAGTTAGCACGTGTTTTGCACGTGCCACTCCAACATACTTCTCGAACAAGATTCCGGTAGGACTAGGAGAAATCGATAATTCAATAAATAAGCTCTTGCACGTGGCAACCTGTAAAAAGCGCCTTATCCATCCAAAGGAATACGCATAGCCATGCGCTTTACATCACCCAAGTAACTCAACGTTGAAATTCACCAAACTAGACTAAATCTTTCTTCAGAATTACCATTTTACCCTTAAAATAATTGATTTGGCAGGCTACTGAAGCGAGTAGCTAATACAAAATCTACAACAGCGAGTGGTACAAGAAAAACACAACTATTGAACAAATACAATTTCCAAAAGCGGGAACAACTTCCCCGTTTTGAATTTAAACTAACAGACCTTCAAATTCCCAACGGAGGACTTAGTTACCTTCTTCACCTACTTAAGTTTAATTATCCTGAACCGATGAGAAATTCGAGTTTCAAAAAATAAACATGGATTTTCATTCTTTGAAGAGAAAGGAATTGCAGGCTCTCTGCAAGAAACATGGTTTACCTGCAAATAAAACCAACATTCAAATGGCGGATTCTTTGACTTTGACTCTAAAGGTTTGACGTTATTCATATTCTATTTAAATTTTGTTTCTTTGTTTGTAATTTTTCTTATTATTGAGTAACTCAGTGATTATTACTGTTTGTTCTGTTTGATTGCTATGGAAATGGATTAGAGGGTAAGGAAAAATCGAGATTTATATTTTCCAATTCTTTATTTAATTAAATTCTATTATCTTTTGCAAAATGATATATTGAAAAAAAAATTAAAAATTTTGTCCCACTTTTTATATATATAACTTAAATACTATTCAGATTGATTAATAGCAAGATATGCAATTTTCTAAATTGTACACAGGTAAACGATAAACCCATTTCTGGGGAAGATAGGGAACTTGTAAAGAGGAAAAAGGAAGTCAGGTTCAGTCCTGATGACGAAATACGCGAATATGAACCATCAGTGTATAGAATAGGAGGCAGAAGGACCAGGAGAACAAGCTTGGCTAATCCCGAGTTAAAGGAAATAGGAACGAGCAATCCTTCTAATAACGGTTCGGGAAAGAAGAGGGGCAGACCAAGTGAAAAAGTTGGAAATGTAGGTCGAGTCACTCGGTCTCAAGCAAAGGTTAATAAGGAGATCTCTAATTCTTTGATTGAGAGTGAGTTAAAGAGGATAGGGAGAAATGGTCTGAAGCAGAAATCTAAAGAGCCTCATAGTGTTAGGAGATCAAAAAGAAATGTAGGCAACCTTGTAGATGCAGAATTTATTGAAGTTGAAGTCGTGGGTAAGATTAGACGGTCTCAAAGGCAGTCTGTAAAGAATGATCGTGTAATTGGCGGTGAAAATGAATTTATTGGCGTTATGGACGAATCTTCAAAGGGTTTAGGTAGAAATGGTTCTAGGCGTAAATCTTTTGCCTGCATTAATGATAAGGTGGGAAAAGATGGAGAAAAGGTGTTCACGGAGGACAGAAAGAGATTGAGAAATACAGATTTGAAAGTAGCTAATGAAGTTAAAGCTACTTTGCAAACTAGAGAAGATATTGAGAAGGCTTCTCTCCCTGCTGCTGGCCTACGGAGGTCGAGGCGCAAAACTGCAGTGTTGAACTCTTCTTCTGTCACTGTTGAAGAGAGGACAGGAAAAGTTGTTCTTGCTGGCAAAGTGAAGCAACTAAACAAAGAAGTTTCAGGAAGAGAAGCCTCTTTGACTAATGAAGTTCGAAGGAGGTCTACTAGACGCAGTTCAGTAGCAATCACTGATAAAATGAATGAAGTTGCTGCTAGACTTGGGCGGCGGAAAAGAAAATTTGAACATGAAGCTATTCACGAGACGGAAACGTCCATGGTTTTGGATAAACCCTTAGTTGGACAACCTCCTAGACTCTCTACACGATTTGCTTCTGAATCTGTTGAGAAGAAGCAAAAATCCTCATTAAATATGCCAATTGTAATAAAAGAAACTACATTTAGTAAAACTTCACAAAGTGAAGATTCTGGATCGGTTATGACAGATGTCAAAAGCTTGGGGAAGAAAGGGGAAGCCAAAAGCAAATCCACTGGAAAAAGTAATATTGCTCTGCAATCTGACACTGGGGAACAGATAGGTATTGTAACAGATTCTGAGCAAACTTTGTTTGCAATTCCAATCAAGTTGGCAAGTGCTTCTACAGAAGAAACATCAACAGTTGCTAATAATAATTTGGTTGTTTATGAGAAGAACATTGATTTGAAGGATGACAGAGGAAAATCGATCTCAAATGATTGTATCGATGGTGGTGCAGATGATCAATCATCTCGAACGTTTGATAGCAGTGCAAATTTAGTTGGTAATAATTCAGCTGAAATTAAATTTGCCAGAGTTCAAGAAAAAACTTGTGATGTAGTTTTGCTATTTGATGGTTTCTTAAGTGCAAATCCACCAGCTTTTGCAGGTAACAGAATTTCTATGAAAGGATGATTTTGAATGTCTTTAGTGTTTACTAACTATGTTCTTAATCTATAGGTGAAAGCTTCAATTCCTTAGAATCGGAGAAAGAGTCAGCAATAGAGGAAATAATAAAGGGCAAGAATGGGCACGATGGAACTAACGGTATCATTAATCACTCAACTGAAGTTGATTGCGTCTCTATTCAGGGAGATGGAGTGCATGACCTAAATAGAACTGAACAGGATAATACAACGGAAGAAATTGAGCAGAAAATAGTTCATGATAACGGGAGTTCATTACCAGCAGTCAGAACAGATATTGTTACAAAGAGCACAAAAGATGTATTCCTGGAAAGTGATGGTGATGTTTCTTCTACGGCAGTTGGAAAAATACATGGTCAAGGAGATGGAGTCGATACTCTCAAAAAGACTGAACACGATGATACAACAGATAAACTTCAGTATGAAGCGGTACCTTGTACTGGGAAAGCAAGCTTGTTTACTTCTGAGAACAGTGTTATCCAATTTGTTGATGAAGAGGGAAATGCCAGTGATGCTGCTGAGCTACCAAGAACGAGTTTCGCAAATGAACATCAATGTGGGAAAGCTACATATCTGTTTACACCAGAAGTGGAGGATACCAACGAATATCAAAATTTTTCTACTACCAGTGTTGATTTAAAATGTAAGAATCCATCAACTCTTATATGTTATTTGAATCGTTTAATGTGCTTTTTCCTTTGTCTTGTAATGGACCATTATTTTAAAATGCTTGTTGTTACATTTGTTGCAGCCCTTCATATTGGATGCACAACTTCAAAAGATAACTGTGAACGTCAACAAGGTTTGTTCCGTACTTACTACTTTTCAAGAATTGGATACTCTTTTGGTGGTTCTCTAATAATGTTTAATTGGACATAAAAAAATTTCTAAGATTTTCAAAAGGATTATTGAACAATGTCTGCGGGCAAGAGAATCTAAGATTTGCCTTCTGTAAGACTTCATACTATAACTTGATGGGCTTTCGTTCTAATTGTCATTGGGTTAGTTCTCATGCAAAATTTTTTTTCTTTTGGAGAACGGAAAACAACATTACCACAAGTTTTTTACTTTTCTTGACAACATTCTTAATCACTTATAACCATGCTATAGAATTTTTTTTTTTTTCTTTCTCTCCTGCTTACTCGAATTCATATGTTACAACTTTGTAGATATTGCAGATGAGAATACAGGAATGGCTAATTCAAATTGTGAAGTTGAAAAGAATGTTTTGGAAGAAGCACTAGTAGATCATTCACCTCAATTTAATCTAGAAGAAGTGCAAGATAGAAAAGAGAGCAATACTGCAATAACAAAGAACTATAATGATGATGTCTTCTGTCAACAAGGTTTTGTAGATTGCATGGCTGGGAGAAAAGAAGTTAATTTTGACAGTAATGGTGGTCAACCATTTTCAATGGAAGCATCCTCCGAACCAATTATTCAAGAACAGCCTTCTGAGAAAGAATCAGCTGTAGAGGGGAAGTGGAGTATTAATTCTATCAAAGAGGTTGTAAACAGAAGTGGTAAAGTTGTGGAAGGACAGTTGAATGCAGATCAGCGTGAAGAGGTTGTAAGAGAGGGAAATGCAGAGTGTTCTTGGGTAACTAAGCTTTCAGACCATGATGGTAGTGAGGAAGTGGTTAGAAAGGTGAATGGCAGTGTTGATGAAATTTTGTCTCAAACTACTTGTCAAGAAAATGAAATATCTTCTGGAAAGAATGTTGAATTGATTGCAAAGTCTTCCGTCAGCATCAAAAGGATTGACAGGAGGGAGGAGAAAGAAAAGTCATGTGAAAAGAGAGATTTAAAGGTTATAACTTCTGAGTATTTCATTGTTGAGCACTTGGAAGATAAGAGGGTTCCAGAATCATGTGATGGTCTATGTGAAAATGATGAAGTAGCTGATGAAGAAACACGCACGGTGACAATGAGCATACAGGCGGCAATAGATGAGGTTGCGGGTGGTATGCAATCAAATAGCACAGCAGTACCCGGTAAAACGGTTTCAAACTTTGGAGATGAGTTATTGAATATTAAAGATTCTAGTCTGGTTGCTTTGGATGAGCTTGCATCTACTAATTTTAGGAGCATTGATAAGACATATAGTGGGGCCGTGGACACGGAAAGTCAATTTGAAGGCAAGGCAGTTTATGTTGACAGTCTCAGAGAGAAATACGTCATGGAGTCTGGCACAGGTGATTTTATAGATTTGAACGCGGATGTCAAAGCTGCACATACAAGGGTAAATTTTGGAAGAAAAGATGACATTTTTGAAGTTAAGGACATCAACAGTGATGCTGAGAAGGAATTTGAGAATACTTTTTTCTCATACCGTGGTTATCATCTTTGCCTTTTCTCTCTGAAACATTTAATTTATGATGATCCTAGAATGCGAATTTCTTTTTTACCTGAAACTGTCTAAAAGTAATTAGTATTGATCTTAGTCTCTTTTTTTTTTTTTTTTTTTTTATAATTGAAGCAAGTTAATTTAATTCTTTCCCTATTGAATTTAGTAGACAAACCTAATTTGGTAACTACATTAGGATTGAGACAGATGAAGGAAAAATACTTTTTTTTTTTTTTTTTTTTTTATTAATTGAAGCAAGTTAATTTATTCTTTCCCTATGTGAATTTAGTAGACAACCTATTTGGTAACTACATTAGGATTGAGACAGACTGAAGGGAAAAATACTTTGAATAACTATCCAACAGGTTGCTAGACAACAACTTTAAGCCGCAAGGGCATCGTAAGGAAAATAATCTGGGAATAGAATGACTGTATTTCTGTTGGAATGCAGTGATGCACATCCATATTATTTGTTATAAAACTCCTTGTTTCTTAACAGCAGATTCTGTTGGACAGTTTTGACAAGTATACAAATTTTACCTATTCTTTTTCTCCTTCCTTTGAGTCATTTGATGCAAAATGGCATGAATTCCCCTAACTAATAATTATATCTCTTGGATGGGCAGAAGTTACGTCCTTCAAGATTCAATCTGAATCTGCCATGTTCACTAAGCGGGAGTCCAATTTGATTCAAGGGAATGGAGAACAACAAGGGAGATTTGCAGAATCTGATGAGTATACCTTGGATGACAATTCAGGAAGCAAGGATTCCGATCAGATAATGCATGCAGAACAAGGTGTAGTTGAAAAATCTGAAGGGGAAAACTTAGGAGCCAAGGATTTTGAGCGTAATGTGCCAGTAGAAGATATTACCAATATTGAGAAAGCTGGGAAAGTTGCTGAAATGAATTTTGTTGAGGTTTTCCGCTCTGTTACAGATGAACCCATATTTGGGGATAGGTTTAATGAAGTATGTTCTGCCAAGCAACATTTTGTTTATCTTCAGAATCATGGGGATAAGAGGGTTGATAATTCTCTCTCTGCTGCACGTGAAGGGATTTGTGAAGATGCTCCTAAAGTTAATGATAAGAAAAATGATGATTTAGACAAGTGCATTGCAAAACGTTCTCCTGATAACAATATTTCCTCTTCTGGTTTTCAAAGCATCAGCGAAAATGGTGCATATTCTGAAGATAAAGAAGTTTGCACAGCAACCTGTGGAGATATTGATAAACAAGAAGATGTGCAAGTTAGAGAGGCTGCTTTGTCAGTTTTTTCGGATGATGCATCACATGATTCCTATTGTGGGAAAACTGAAATTGCTTCAGGTGGTTTTATTACACAGCAGAATACAAATGGATCTTATGGTAAGTGATACCTCCTACTGTAGTGTTGCAAGAACGTGTTATTTTGAAGAGATTTATATCTAAGAAGATTGGTTTGAATATGATAAAGAAAGTATTTTGATATCAGCTTAGCTTCTCACTACGTGAATTATTGAATAGTATTACAGTATATGTTTACAATATCCTCGGTTTCTTAATTTGGATATGAACTTTTTTTTGTGGGAAATGCAGAAGAGGTCAAGGATCAAGTGATGGAGGATGGTGGAACTATAAATGGAGAAAATGGCAGGAATCAGATGGCTTGTGAGGATCTGCATGATCCTATAGATAGTTTGAGCCCAAGAAACAGTGTAGGAGATCATCAGGACGTCGCTAAGGAACAACTTAATGTGCATCAAGGCATCAGTGATAATGGTGCATATGCAGAAGGCAGAAAAGTTTGCCCGGCAACCCCTGGAGAGTTTGACGAACTAGAAGAGGTAGGAACAGTTGGAGAAACTGCTTTATCAGTTTTTTCAGATGACACATCACATGAAACAGTGGGGTCCATACTATCAAGTTGCAGCAAGTGGGAAGGCAGCAGACCCGCAGAAATTCTATTATTTGCTGATAACTTTTGTGGTAAACCTGAATTTGTATCAGGTACTTCTTTTACACAGAAGAATTCTCAAGCATTTCATGGTAATTGATCCCAACACCTTATTGTCTCTTCAAAGTAGTATATTGGCGGAGCTTTTTCTACAAAATTTGGTTTGAATTTGATAGACTAGAAACTTGATATAAACTTAGCTTAACTACCAGAATTCTGAGTTGGCTTTACAGCAGGCTAATATTTTTCTTACTTTGTTAACTTGAGATATCCTTTTTATGTGTAAAATTGATTAGAGTTTGAGGATCAAGAGCATAAAGAAATTTTATTAACAGAGAAAAGTGGAACTCAGATAGCTTGTGAAGATCTAAAATATCCTGCAGATGGTTCAAGCCTAGGAAATAAAGTGAGAAATCATCAGGAGGCTGTGAAAGATCAACTTAATGTGCATCAAGATATTGAAACAGCTTTAACGGATGATCATGATTCTGTAATTCTAAACAAACTCTTACGTGATAATAAAAATATGATCCACTCTGCAGAGGGTGGGGAAGCGCATTGTTTGAACGAGCTTGAAGATGAGCTTCCATCTGTTACTGATTCTAAGAAAGCTGCCAACTTTGAAAGCCCTGATGCAATTTCTCCATTCAAAAATGAGCCTGTTGTTGATTCCAAGACTATTTCTGCAGTTAGAGCTTCTTCTTATAAGGGTAGGTACTTAATGCTTTAATTAAAGGTCAATAAAAGATTAATGCTATTACGACTTGGTTATGCAATTTTTAACAATTTTGCTATCCAAACTGCCAGAAAATGAAGCCCTGGAGCTGAATTTGTTTTTCGGGATGGGAGAAGAATATGATATTGAAGAACCAAGAGAACAGGCATCACAAGTCAATTTGACAAGTGAGGAAGCTAGAGAGTCACCAGAAAAAATAATGATTATCGATTCACCTGCTAAACAAGTTGCTGAAGACCAACATGGTGAATGTGAAGATCAAATAGAAGGCCATTACCTTCCAAATTCAGATGAGGCTAATTTTGACAAAGCTAAAGAGCCGCAGATTCAGGCTAGTGTGTCTAACGTTTTTGATGACATGCAAGATTTTATCTTTTCTGGGTTTCAAGAAAATAGATCGGACAAGACCGAGTCAAATGCCAATTTCATTGTTGAAAATGAGGGAGAAGCAACAGAGTTGACAGATGTTTTGCCAAAAACATGTCAAACGGCACTGGACCAATCTTCTGGGGTTTGTCAAGGTACAACCCTTTTTATCTGAAGTTCGTGTTATCTTTTTTTGTTCTTGGATTTAGGCACAAGAAAATATTCACATAGAAATTATTTGTAATACCTGCTTTCAATTTGATAGATAGAATCACAGAAAATATGATAAAATTAACTTAGCTTCACTCTACCATAGTTCTTAATTGGCATATGTGAATAACTTTTCTTGTAGATAAACATTTTAAGTGTGCATTGCAGAAGAGCTCGAGGATCAAATGTTGAAGGATCAAGAAATTATAGCAGGAGAAAATGATGGAGCTCTGATAGCTTTTGAGAATCTAAATGATTCTACAGATGGTCGAAGCCTAGATAACAATGCAAGAAATCACCAGGAGGATGCTAAAGAGCAACTTAACGACTGTCAAGCTAGTGGAGCAGATTTAATGGATGTTCATGATTGTTTAACTCTAAGAAAACTATTTCCCAACTTTGAAGACCTAAACGCTATTCCTACCAAAAATGAGGCAGTGGCTGACTGCAAGATTATATCTGCTTCTAGTGGTTCTCCCTTAAATGGTAGGTACATAATGCCTGAAGTAAAGGAGTCCAGTATAGATCCTTTGATGTTATTGAAGCTTGGTTTTGCAGTCCCTAACAATTTTTCATCTCTTTAAATATCAGAAAATGAAGCCTTTGAATATGAGGAAAAGCAAAGTGAGCAGGCACCACAAATCAATTTGATAAGTAAGGATGCTGGAGTGTTGCCTGGAAATGCAATTTTTATTGAATCCTCTGCTACACAAGTCATTGAAGATAAACAAACTGAACCTGAGTATCTAATGGAAGTCAGTAACCTTGCAGAGAACAATTTTGAACAGGACAAAGATTTACAAGAAAATGAACCTGTAGAGGTCAAGGAAAATGCTTTTCATGATACTGTTTTATTTGAGCAAACACTGGATTGCGATCCAAGCAATTTAAAAGAAGATCTGATTGCTAATCTTATTGGTGAAAGTGAGGAAGAAATGAAGTTGGTAAAGGATGTCCCAGAAATAGGTGAAACGAAAGTGGATCATCAATCTGCAGTGCTATCTTCTGGGGTTGGTCAAGGTAAAAACTCGTTACCAAAACATTTTATTTTCTTTTGTTTGCAGTTTGCACTTGTTCCTTAACATGTTATGAATTTTCTGTCAGACTTCACTGCTGGAGATGGTAAAAGCTGCCAAGGCATGTTTCAATCAGCTAAAAAGGCAAGTCCATTGAGGAACTTGACTGGCTTTATTCAAGGAACACCCCAAAAGGTTTTTGACTCATGTGCTATTAACGAGAATGCACTGAGCATGAAGAAGGTCCAAGTTGGTAGTCTGACAGCCCCTAAGACCTTGATAAAGAGGCGTCCTCTGGAGGATATTAGCAAGAAATAGAAATTATTGTTCTTGCTCATTGGATATTTTATTTACTCTTTTATTTGTGTTTCTTTTTGTCTTAATATCAGCATATCTCATGCATTATTTGTAAAGAAAGGTATGGAACAAGTTGATCAACATATATAGTTTCTAGTTGCTCAGAAACTAATGTGAACGAAACCATAGGACACTGAAGTTAAACGTTTTATTTACCCATATAGCATTTGATTTGTCTAAGTTTAAGCAACTAGTGTATGTGATATTTCTGGTTGCACTTGGAGAGTTGAAAGTTTTTGAAGTTATGATTCTCCTTGAGATTTATTTCTAGAAGCAATTGTTCATGCACGTGGCAATCGCAGAACATAAATTCGGACAAATATAAAACTCAATCCATTTCTGAGGAGGGATAGTTCCAAGAAAAGAAGCAATTTTGTATTTGTTCTTCCTTGAGAAGGGGATTATGGTATATAATTTATGTGAAAGCTTGTTCTCTGAAATTACAGACAGAACTAATAGCAACCAGAAAATCCACATGTATCAAAAGAATGAATATCAAATAGGCAAAACAGGTGACTATATGTCTATGCCCTTATATCTACACCACCCCCCACCCTAATTTTCCTCGAGAGCTTATTGAAGAAGAACCAAACTGTTTTAAAGGATGCCTTTCAACTATCATGAAAAATATAGCTTTCTTATGCATGCCTAAAATGACTTTCTACATTTAAACTCAAAATCTAACCTTCTATATCATGTACCTTAGTCACAATTTAGCCCACAAATTTCTAACACAATACCATCTTTCGACAAAAATGGGTTGACCCGAACCCACAAAAGTGAGAATATTGAAGCTAGAAGTATCGCCCAGACAACAACAATGGTGGGAACCCGGTCTTGTTTCGCCATCAGTCCTTTGAGGAATGGATAAAGATGGGCAATGACCCAGACAGCAAAGAATAACCTACCAAAGAGTGGACCCCATGAATCATAACCGTTACCAATGGCATCTCCAACTCCGACCATGATGCCGATTATGTTTATGATAAGCAAGGTCATGGGAGGGATCAACAGGGATGTCCATTTAAACACGTAGAGCTCGGAAAATTCCCCGTCATCTGCTGCTTTAGAAGTAACTGTAAAATTAGTATTAACACCTGCCAAGACCTTAAGCAGACCTTGAAAAAGAGCAAATAGATGGGATGAGGTTCCACCAATCACCCAAAACTGCTCATTTCTCCACCAGTCATGTATGCCAACACCTCCCCATTGCATTTCAAGTATGCCAGTTGCAGCTATGGAAATGAAGAGGGCTATGAAAATGAGACCTGCATAGTTACTTATCTGCATTCACATGTAGACAATATTCGTGAGGAAATCTTGCAAATTACTGAAACTAAGCTTAAATTTTAGAAATAAAAAGACATTAGGTTGGTGACAAAAGGGAATACCTCAGGGACAATGAATTTCCCCGTAACAAGGCAAACAGCTGGCAATGTACAGTAGACAAGCAAGGGAATTGATGTCAATGGGTACACAACTGAGTTTATGTATGAAAAGCGCTCCAGCGGTTTCAATCCATTCCCATATCCATACCATATTGGACAATGCCTACTCAACAAAATCTCGACAGAACCTAGTGCCCATCGGAGAACCTGGTGTAGACGATCTGAAAGGTTTATTGGAGCTGATCCCTTAAATGCAGGTCTGTCTGGTATGCAATATACAGATCGCCAACCATGGCAATGCATCTTGAAGCCTGTCAATATATCCTCAGTGACAGAACCATAGATCCACCCGACCTAGAATATAATTAAAATTTATACAAGAGCTTTAAAGAAAGCCTTGGGAAACAGAACATTGAGTTTGGAATATTGACTTATGGCATATATGTACCTCTTTTCCCCATTCAGTTTTGTCTTCATATCCACAGCTAATGACATGAATAGCCTCTTTCAAAAGAGATGCAGAAGTTGCTTCTTTTGGAATACCGCCTTCTTCCATGAGAGTTGATGCTATAAAAACTGGTGACTGTCCAAATTTTTTCTCAAATTTTACTTGGGACATTAACTCTGATTTGTCATTATCTATTCCTGCATTGAAAATGCAATTACTATATAAACATACAACTAAAGATCAGTAAAACCATAGAGAAAAAAAAGAGCACCAAGTAAAATTGCTAAATGTAGTTAATTCAGTCGAGAAAATTTAAGATCGAATTAAGAGGTGCCAAAGTGTGAAGGAAAGCTCATTTGTTATATAGAGGTGTCAACTTCATCAGCAAGCTTTATACCCTCACCTTCAATACCCTCCTCGATATTTTCTAATGCATATATCTGCTTGTTAGCCTCCTTGTTCTTCATCTTTTTCTCATTTGATTTTGCTTTCTTATTCTTCTTCTTTCTAGATTTGCAACAGCAGCAACAACACCATCTTGGCCAGCAATTACACGTCTTCCCTGGTGGCTTCTTCTTGATGGGCGCATCATATCCATAAAGTGCCTGCCTCCTGAAGACACATCCAGTACCAACATATATAGGACCTTGGATCCCATCCAATCCTTTCATGTTGATCTGCAATTATAAAAAAAATCAGTCTCCTCAAGACAATAAAACAGGTATATTTGTGTTTACCATACAGCAGTATTGAGATAGTTACATACATCAAAGAATACAACATTCCGATTGGAGTATCTATCATGACGGTCAATCCCATCAAATCTTTGAGGAAATTGTACATAACATACTTTCTTTCCAGATGTTGGATCCATCATAAAGCACATGGCTTCACGAAGTGCCTTACTGTTGTTTATATAGTGATCACAATCAACATTCAGAAGGTATGGAGCATTTGTTATGATTGCAGATACCCTCACCTTCATTAACCAGCCAAAACAAAACAGTTAGATATGGGAAAACATTGATAAACTGGCCGAATAAGTTAGAGAGGGAGGAAGCTCTACCAAAGCATTCATTGCCCCGGCCTTTTTGTGGTGATCAAATCCTGGTCTCTTCTCACGAGACACATAAACTAGACGAGGCAATTCATTTCCTTCAAGATCATGAACACCGTTACGACCCAAGAAAACCTGAAGAGAGATAATGAGTTTTAGATCACTAAAATTTTCATCATCTTAGTATAAGGTTGAGCCAGATGCATAACATGGAACACGCATGATACTAACGAATACATTCAAATAACTTCTTTACCTGAATCATTCCAGGATGATCCCTGACATTATTCCCAGGCCAAGGAGTCCCATCCTGCATTGTCCAACCATCCTCAGGAACCTTCTGTGCCATGGCAACCAATCCATTTATTCGAACTTTAAACTCTTCATATTCTCTCTGCACCAACACATGGAACCAATGAAAAGAAAAAAAAAATCATTATTTGGAGACAACCAAAGATGTTTATATCCAGGAGAGTAATTTAACATTTGTACAAACTCTAAAGGGAAAATCCAAAAACCTTCATGGCACGGCGTTCCCTAATGAATGTTGGATCTACTTTATCTTTCAAATAGTCAACCTTCTGGGCAAAGTACCATTCTGGGGCCCTGGGTTCAATTTTGAACTTCTTGCAGAAAGGGACCCACTTTCTTGCAAATTCGGATGTTTCTGAGAGTGCTTCAAAGGTAAGCATGGCAGCACCATCATCTGAGACATAGCACGCAACTTTGTCTACTGGATAATCTACAGAAAGAATGGACAAAACTGTGTTTGCAGTAATGAGTGGAGGTTCTTTCAAAGGATCAACAGTACTAACAAATATGTCTATAGCAGCCAACTCAGATGGTTTCCCCTCTTTCTCATACCTGTTAACAAATCTTAAACATTAAAATGTGAAATTGCCAACGCATGCTACCATCAGAGAGAAAAGAATGTCTACCTCAATGATAATCGATCAAGATATGTTTCACGCTTAATGGGGTACCATTTAGGGAACTGATCAAATATCCAAGATATGGCAAACCATATTTCACAAATTATCGACGTTAGCCACAATCCATAAGCATCATTGACAGGGTGGAGAATTCTGTAGTGAAAGAAGAGGCCAAGAATTGCAAGCCGGAGAATAACTATCATTCTATAAGGATTTATCTTGCTGGATGAGATCGGTAACTTCCTTGATAGAGGCTGCCTCCCTTCATCCATCCTACCAAAGCATATAAATAAATTAATTGCTATAAAATGGACTATTAGCAGAATCAATTCAAACAAAAAAAACACAGTAAAAAAATTGGATCTTTGCTTCCTAGACCAGTTTAAGCAATGAAATTGCAGAATACTGCCACTTAAAACAAAAACCAACCCGTAATCACAAACAAGTTGGGATCAACTATATGAATTTTTGGTTTCTATTGTGCTTTATTTACAATTAAGTCCACTCTTACGTCAAGAATTAGGTAATGTCTAGAATCCTGCCACTTATGATAGGCAAACTTTTGCAATGTGCAAGAATTTAATCTAATAAATTCTGGGCACATATACCAAAGACATGCCTAATTGCACTCTTTTGGTGCCTAAAATGTCTTGCTTAACAAACGCACACAAGTATGCAGTATGCCTGCATAGTGCGTACTATTATGAGATACTAAATATCTTCATTTTGTCAGTTTCATTGCAGTTACATTACAGCTTTATTGCTAAGGCATAGTTGTGAAAAGCCTGCAGTCATATCCAAATGTTTTTACATTCTGATAGGTTTCATTTGCAGCCCCACATCCATGGTGAAACCTGGTACTTATAGCATTGTGCCAATACAACACATTTACATGCATGGAGTTCAAGCTATCTGAAAAAGATATTAAGTTACTTAATTGCAATAAATTAGATACAATTCAGCCAATTCAATGAGAAAGCTGAGAAAATGACTTACATTGGCAAATCAGGATCATCCAATTCATCTCCACCATCCTTTCCACCTTGATGCTTAACCACCTGAAGTTTTTCATTCTGCTTTTTCTTCCACTCCTCCATTCTCTCCTTCCATGCAATGGTTCCATACCCATACACTGCCAAGTCTTTCTTAGGATCCATTGCCCTTGGTGGTACTGCAGCATCACACAAAGTAAGCAAAACTAAGCAAGGGAATAACAAATCTAAAAAGCAATCAGAATCAAATGAATTTCAGAAATATTAGACTTACAAGACATTGGTGAATCAGGAAATGGCAATGGGTGAATCCGTTTCCCACAAAATGGTGGTATAATAAGGGCATGCTTATCAGAGGAAATACCAACATCCTACACCAAAAGAGTCACAATAACACCAAATGAATAGCTAGCTATAAATTGTGATTATATTCCAAGAATAGAGTACCAACGACAAATTAAAATATGAGTTATAAATAATAATTACATTGAAGACCCAAAAAAAGAAGAAAACTTCCATAAAAACACAATTCACCTCTTCACGATAAGTGAGGAGAGGAATCCCAGGAGCTGCAGAAACAGAATCCGACTCAGATGGTGTTCCAAACTCTGAAACATTTGCATGTGTACTCCTGCCGATATTAAGGTGAGCAGAGAGCATAGCCTCAGCAATATGTTGAGGGTCTCTTCTGTCATGAGCAGAAATATCAAACTCATTCTCCAAATCATCTATATCTTCCTCTTCTTCATCCCCTTCAACTCTAGGGCTCCCTGCAATAGCTCAGGTTTTTAGTAATCACTAAACTGCTATGACGGGTGGCAAGAAACAAAATGAACAACAGAACAAACAAGCGAGAGACTAACCTTTAATTCGCTTATATCTGGTTTTGCATTGAGGACAGGCTTGGTTTCCCTCTCTTCTTTCATACTCGTAGCAATGTCTACAAACAGGGAATGCACATTCATTACAAGCAACAAAAGGCTCCCCATCTCTTGTAAACTCTATCTCATCCCCACAGATCTGGCAAATTTGCCCACTCAGTTCTTCAACAGAAGTCACCTGCAATTGGAAAACACCGTGTCAACATAAACTCAATAAGATTGTAGAGCATCAAACCAAAAGTTACAAAAGTGAATTTTAACGATTCATTTCACTCAAGGATTTGTAATCAGATTATTCATGCAGAACCAAGTTGTATTGACTGGCTCTGAAATCTAGAAACTAAAGAGGAAGAAAAAACAGTAACTAATTGATGATGAAAAATTTTGAGAAACATACATTAGCACATGGATAAACAAAAGAAAATGCATATTTTGCATAAATACAATGGTTTAAACTACTAATTTTTCGTCAACAGTAAACTTAAAAGGTATCGAATGAGGCATTGGATTAAAAGGACAGGGGGAACCATCACAAAACAATAGTTATAGCTTTGAAACCAACTTGTAACATTGAGCTTCATACAAAATCAATTGTTACCGCGTAAATAACTTCAAAATGGGCCAATGGATATCTTCAAACCGTAGGAATGGGTTAAAGAAATACTTTAAAAGACTCAAAACCAACACATTTCTGATTTCTGAAGCTAAAACTCTTCAAAGTTTAACAACAGCAGATATCTGAAGAGCACTTACTCTTGAAATCTCATCAGCATTGATGAGAACAAACTCGTTTCTGTTGTGAGAACCTGCAATGAGTCTCCCTTTCGTTTCCATGAAGCCAAAAATAGAAAGCTTTGAAACTCAACTCAGTACCTTCACTGTATCAACCCCTTTTCTTCATTCATCACTCAAAACCCACTAAGCACAAAGCTCTCTTTAACTCTCTCCCTCACTCGCTCTCTTTCACAGCTTTAGCCCACTCTTGTAGGCTCCCGTTACAAGAAACACCAAACAACCTCACATCCCATTATAGTATTAATGACAGAGAGAGAAAGAAAGAGAGGAGAGATAAAGAAATAGAAAAAGAATTTTAGAAATGCCAATAAACGATAAAATAATAAGAGAAAATGAGAAATTGGACAAAAGTATTTTATTAAAAAAAAGAACAATAACAATAATTATAATAATAACAACAGTGTCTTTGTTAGCGTTTGTTGGTGAATGATTCCTTTCTTCAAAGACCCAGCTTTCCACTAGACGGGTTCTCTGTGTTAAGGTCATTGGTCTTGATCTGTGACACCATTTTGTTCATTTCTTGGAATATAAAATTACAGAGACAAAAAGTAAATTTTTAAAGAGAGAAAGAGAAAGTCTTCTTATTTATTTTTAATTTGAAAAAATAAAAGAGAAAGAGAAGAATCTAACAAAATGCAGTTCAACACAGAAGGAGACGAGATAGAGACGGGGACAAGAGAAGAGATCAGGACTGAGGAGTTACCTCACTGTATGTATATGCACATACGGTATAAATACTCTACCTGGATTAAATAAAGAAATGGAAATGATGTTTGATGGGGACCCAGAATTTCAATTTTACAATGGTGAAAACAGAGCTGCCGGTGGTGGGACTAGAGGGTGGTACTCCATCGCTAGTGGTATTGTGGTGGTGATTGATGGGTATTTTTGTAATTTGCGTTGCCGGTCAACTGTATTGTGAGCAGTCAAAGGAGAGATAATAGTTTTTTTTTAAGAGTGAAAAGAGAATGTGTTTGTTTTCACTTTTCAAAGACGAGTTATATTATATCAGAACGAAAGTGCCACGTGTGGCTCGTGAAAATGGTGTTTTCTGGCACGAAATAGATATAAAAAAATATATTTGATATATATTTAGTTTACTTTTTAAAAGTAATGGTAAAATAGATACAAAAAATCTTTAATTTACTAAAATTTTATACAACAAAAATACAAATTTATAAATTCTTAGTTTTAAAAGAGATTTATTTAGAACTTAAAAAAAAAGAGATTTATTTATTAATGAGATGTAGTAATTCTCTCACATTCTTTATATTCTTTATATGAAAATTGAGAAGTGAAATCTCAGGTTTGAGTGCAAAACGAAAGATGCAAAATTTCTAAAAATCATCTTTAAACAAATTTTAAAAGAGTTCTATCTATTAATTACATATGGTCTAATTAGTCTTCTCACATTATTCATACAAGAAATCTCAAATTCTGAGCGAATTTGATTTAAAAATTAACGGGTTAAGAATTCAAAATTTAGAGTGATCATTTTTAATTACTTGAATGTCAATCTTGGCAATCACTTTTTTCATTTAATTATTTTTCATTTAAATTTCTATTGTATTGCAATAAATGGAAATTATTTAATTTCTTGCTCTAATGATTTCATATGCGACCAAAATAGCCTTATGTTGTGGGAAACGTTTCTTTGTTTTTGTATCTGTATACGTTTTAATGCCTTTGTAACAGAAGAGGAAAGCAAATTGAATGCTTGTTCTGAATACCTAATTCACTCACTTTATTGACAAAAAGTAATTGCAACAAAATGTATTACATCGCTATTCCTAAAAATAACAAAATAATAAACAACAAAAAGCTCTTTCCTTTCATTTTTTTTTTTTTTTTTTTATAACCGTTCTTTGTTTTTGTTATCTGTAATACGTTTTAAATGCCTTTGTAACAGAAGAGGAAAAGCAAATTGAATGCCTTGTTCTGATACCTAATTCAACTCATTTATTGACAAAAATAATTGCAACAAAATGTATTACATCGCTATTCCTAAAAAATAACAAAATAATAAACAACAAAAAGCTCTTTCCTTTCATTTTTTTTTTTTTTTTTTGGGTTCTAATTCTTTATTTCTATATTTTCATTTTTTTTTTTTTTTTTTGGGTTCTATTCTTTATTTCTATATAAGTGTTATGTGTATAGCTTGGCATGGAAGTAAAGTATTGTATTGGTGCGCATGGGTATTTTTATTTTATATATAATATGTTAATGTGGGTTCAAGGTTTAGGTTAATGTAATTGGTAGTTATTACTTAATACTCAAGGATGTTAAGGTTATGCATACAAGGAATGCACCTTTGCTTTTAGCTTTCTACATAGAAAATGTTGTCTTTTTTTTTTTTAATTATTTTACAAAGGAAAAAAAAAAGTAATAATCTATATATAATTTTGGTTAGCTTGATTGATTATGTTTTTTTCTGTGCAAGCATATATTAATATGTATGCTTTCTTCTTGTTCTTCTTCTTTTTCTTTTTTTTTTAAGAATTGAAATGGGTTCTATAATTAGGATGATTCTCTCAAATTTCATAATTTCTAATATTTTATCTGATTTAAATATGAGATTTTAAAGATAAACATTTTACATTTAACTATTTGGATATTTTACTTTGATTAATCTATATGTTAAATGATGTTTTTCCAATGTTACATTTGATACAATAACTACTTTTATAAATAAAATTTAATTTTGAGATAAAAGATAATTTGATCAGATTACTATTTGCTTTATTATAATTTAGGAGAATTAATTGTTTCAATCCCGTGCAAAAACTTTAAATGAATTATAGTTCTTGACAGAGGGGATATTTTGTTACTGAGTGATGAATTATTCTTATTAATGAAATTTTAATGCAATTGTACTACAATCAATATGATGAGATTTTAACTCTTAAGAGATTGTTGAATGTAAAGATTCAACATTGAGGATAAGAATGGTTGGTTCATTGAATCAGTGATTTGGGAAAGGAAAATGGAATCAGGACTTACTTGAATATTTAAAATTGTGGTTTTGATTCCAATTTAATTGGTTTTGGATTAATTTCCTTTCTTATCTATGATTCAAGTCGATTCTGATTTCGATTTCAATTCGACCTCTTTTTAATTTAAATGGAGAAAAATAAGAAAAGACGCAAACGACCCTTTTGATTGTTAGGCTCATAAGTTAGTTTTTTTTTTTAAAAAAAAATGAGATCACCAAAAGCACTGATACTATCAGTTTCAGTCCAAAAACTTTTGTGGAATTTGATGGAATAGGCCAAAACTTGGCTTTCTAATCAATTTTGATTTGATTCAAGATCAATATTTTTGGATTGACAGTCCAAGCCTTTTTTCAATTTGGTTTTGATTCAAATCAGACCAGTGGCTACACATGATGAAGAACCTCTTTAGACTTGTTTAGTAAGGGTATTAATTTAATTTTAACAGACAAAAAGATTGGAAGCATTTTATGTTAAAACTCTATTGTATTTTTTTTCAATATTCAAAATTCACTGGTCCGACTAATTCAGATTTGACTTAGCTCAGGTCTACAAAAGGCCATCCTTCCGAGTATTTAAAGGAACTTCATTCCTCAGGTTCGAATTCAAGACTTTTTGATTTGTTGTGCTTTTTCCTTTTCTCTAGTAATTGCTTCTATAATTTTCTTTTTGAAAGGTTTGCTTTTGGAATTTTTTAACCACCAAAAAAAAGGAAAGAGAAAGACTTTGCATAAGCTGTATTTAGCCAAGTCTAATGGGTTTTTATACTGAAAAGGAAAAACAAGCCTCTTTGGTTTCTTTATTTGAAAGAAGACTTTATATTTTAAACTCATAAATTATATGCATTTGGTATAAAATAAATAAATAAAGAATTTTGCTAAATGGCACAATCTGCACTCATTTACAATTACATCCTTAGTATGACGTCAATAATATCTAAACTGCTAAAAAATTGTTTAAGGACATAAATTGTGTCAAAAATATTTTCCGATAAATATATCGTATTGTGCTTATTATAAAAGGAGTAAATGTATTTTTAGATACACTATAAATTATTTGAATCATTTAATTATTTAATACCAATTAAATAACTTTCAATTTCAAGTTTAAGTTCACCCACTTGAGCTTTCGTATTATAATTGATTAATTTGTAGTTGACATTTCTTCTTCCATAGATTTAGATCTATCTATTAATATATATTTATAAATAAAACGTGCATTAGCATTTCAAGTAATATAAATTTAAGTAGCAACTAAATTCTAATATTGCCACATTGATGTTGCAACTAACTTATGTTTAAAATAATCATAGTTGGATTAGTAAATGGATATGTATATTTATGTTTTTTAAAGTAAAATATTAAAAAATAATTTTTAATTTTTGTACATATTAAAAAAATAAATTATTAAGTAATTGGCAGATAAAAGAGATTTGTTCACAAATCAATTTTTTTTTAAAAAAATAAAAAGTCCGTCTAATATGTAATTAGTATCTATAATTTTTTTATAGAAAAAATTTACCTAAACCGCCCCATTTATGGACCAAACAAATAAAAACAAAGATTTTTCAAAAAATATTTTATTTTTTTTTAAGTATATAGCTAGAAACATCTCGTTTTAATAAAAGTCTTTAATTTTATTAATTTGGTATGAATTCCATCTAAATAAATTATTTATTTCGGGGAAAAAAAAAAGTGTCGGTAGCCATAAATTCCAGGTTAAGAAGAGAAGAAGAATAAAGCCAATACACTTAATCTCAAATCTTATCATGGGTTATGATAAAGAAAGTGATTGAGCAACTAATGATTGTTTCTGTTTCTCTTTTGTCATATATATTCTATGTATGGATAATAGATTCCAAAAGAGTGGTTGTGATTTATTTATTTATTTAGTTTTATAAATCATGTAATTTAAGAATAAAGAAAAGCCCTTTGCCAATTATACATATATATGTTCTAGCACATTATGATATTAGTGGGAGAATCCAAAGAATTTTTTTTTTAAAAAAAAATATTAAAAATAGATGTGTGTATATGAATATTTATATTTCTTTCTTTTTTTTTTTCCATTTAAAAAAAAATTTGGCATTGCAAGCGGGTGATCTCTAGATGCTTTACTAATAAAAAATTTAATAGCAAATGTTGTTTTATTTTACTTTTTTTCTGATAAAAATAAAAAAAAATTTATAGTTCATAAAACTTTATACATAAAAACCAAAATATTAAATGGAGGGAAATAGGAGAGAATATATATGTAAATTTGATTTCACGTTCCAAACTACTCAAAGTGCAATCCTTCTTCTATAAATTTTATTTATATTTTTAGAAAAGACAATTTTTTTTTACAATTTTATTCAATTTTTAATTGTATAAATTGATACCTTGTATTAATTTATTTTTACAGTCGCACTCCATCCCTCTTTCATCAAATTTTCGCTGATGTGGCAGCTAAGTCAGTCCTGTGCATGCACACTTAATCGACAGCTAATTGAATTTTCCACTATATAAAACTTCAATCATCTTTAGAAAAAAAAAAAAAATAAGAAACTTTTTCAAAAGTATAAAACATTTTTTTTACTTTGGCA